GCTTCCGTCTGAACACCATTTGAGTTGGTCCTATGAATAGTCGGCCATGACGAACACAGAAATATTTGTGTCAATAACGAACTTAGCGCATAACGAGCTTGCGGGTTCGACATGTCTCCCGATATCTCCGTGTAGGAATATCTAAAACCCGTGAAGACCCGGGGTAGAATATATGTCTTCAGCAACCCATGCCTACCGCAAAAGGTGATCATGCTTGTCGTAAGAGGCGACTAACGGGATCGGGTGGTCAGCCTCGCTGACATGGTTTGTTTATGCATGTCATCGTATCCTGATTGCGTAGATCGATGCTCATGATGTCAATCACTGGATAATTGTCCGATCCAGACTCGATCATTTACAAAACGGAATATATAAACTCCCTGGTTACAAGGAATAAGTGGAAGAAACGAATAAAAGGAGTAGCGAAACCTTAGCTGGAAGTCCTTTATATTCCCATTGAGTTTCTCGAATTTCGAGACGAGCGGAATTCCGAGACTGTCTATAACGAGATTTCATTACAGTTACAAATAATATCTTCGGGTAAGTGCTTGACCTTACAAGGACGGTATGACGTAAAACCGGACAATTTCATTATCTTCTTGCGTCTTTTTAACATTTTATTATGAAACGCAAGCGTAATCACGTTCATGAAGAAACACGCAATAATATCACCTGGACCGGTTCGTGAGCGTGGCTGTATTAGTCATAAGAAAGGTGGGCAAAATATCCAAATGCACAACATCCTGGGGCGATAATGGAGAAAGTATAGGAAAGGCGTGTTATTTATGCGTGTCACTTTACGCCTATCATGCCGTCACTGACATCCTTACCGCCATGGTCAATGCCACACCAGACAACCCCATGTCGGGCAATGAACGTAACTCAGATACTCCAGAGAGACAGCTGGGAATGAATCGCAGGATACGCTTACCTTTTCGCGACACCTGGTATCATCACTGTTTGGTTGTGATTGTGATATACAGTAGTTGGAATGGTGCAATTATCTCTGCTTTTAGTTTAGATTTATTATGATAATGGGAATAGGTTTGTCGTTTTCAATAACGCAACTGTCAATTATCGATCTTGGACCAGGCAAACCAGAGATCGATAGTGTGATCGATAGGGGCGCGATAGTTGACAGTTGTGATATTGCTGAACTTTCAAGTTATATTGCATAATTAAAACGAGTCACGCTACTGATAGAACGACTAGGTCTCAGATATGGCATTTCTGCATGGGCCCTGTTTCATATTGATTTAAAGGGGTAGGATTAACAACCACAAAATCCCTTTGTTTGTTGTTTAACGTCGCACCGCATTATTCCAGCCACATGACGGCGGCCTGTAAATAATCGAGTCTGGACCAGACAATCCATTGATTGACATCGTGAGCATCAATCTACGTAATTGGAACACGATCACATGCATCAACCAAGCCAGCGAGCCTGACCACGCGTTCCCGTCAGTCGTCTCTTACGACCGGTCATCATTTATGGAGAGCATGGATTGCTGAAAACCTTTTCTGAGCCGGATCTGCAAAGGTCCAAATCCCACTGACTTACGACAGCCGTAGTGTTAGGATACCATGAGTAAGTGAATGTTGTTTTACGCCACAGTTAGCAATGGTTCAGCTTTAAATGATTGATCATGGACAAAGTGAACCTGTGATCGACAGCGTGGGCAAGGAGACATGTCGTTGGTTGTATGACGATCTAGTCTCACATTAGATTTGGTATTTCTGATCCTAGGTGAGTGTGTGAGAGAGTAAATGAGAGTGATTGGGTGTTTTTTAAGCTGCATTCAGCAATATCAGGACGGCCAACAGCCATCTTCAGTCGGCTCCGACGCTAACATGGATACTGGGGATCTAATCCGCTCTGGAATCCTCGCGGGATTTATATTCTGAGGGTTATCCATTTAAATATTCAAATATCCGATCGGTTGGGATTGGACATCCATCATCCTGACAACCACGTCCCCAACACGTTACAGTATTGATAGACCAGTGATCCTGAACAGGACATATGGAAAGAAAATTCCTCAAATACTCGTTTACATGGTTTTCTCAAACAGGCCGTGAAATTACTGGGACGTGTTGACATATAACTACCGTATATGACAACAGATAAGCCGACCCTGTAGATAAGCCGAGGTATTAACTTGACCATTAAAATACGAAAGAAAATGGTATGACCCGCAGATAAGCCGAACCAGGAAATGAAAAGCAAAAAATACTGCGAAGTCGGACTGCAAGACATGTGCCGGTACTCGCAGATATTCAATAATATAAGATGAAAAACGTTGTAATTATATTGAAAAAGTCATTATTATTTCTAATAAAAATTTAACAAACCAGTCATCCACTTTCATAATGTGGGAAGCTGTTTCTCTTGTCTTTTTTTAATCTCATAATGATCGATATATGTTGCCATCAACAACGAAGCGCCATTTTGTGAATCAGTGTATATACAATTATGAACCCGTGAAAAAATATATCAGCTAGAGCGACGACTCGCAGTTTGAATGCAGCATCGTAAGCATGGCGTTTTCGTTTCAAACTCATGATGAGAATGTCAGTCAGTAAAAACATACCAACTTTTATTACCCCCCTTTATACCACTATTGTATGTTAATCCAATAGAATTAAATAAACTATGAACACATTGAATGACCATCACTTTCTCACAGGCTTCTCCAGTTTATTAAACTAATCTCTCGAAAACAAAGGAATTAAGACCCTACTCCCTAAGCACCCACAACTTGAAAGTGTTTGTGTAAACCAGTGATGTCCCATGTATTGTGAGGGAGCGAAATAGCAGAGTGGTCCCGGGTGCTCTGAACGTACACATCCAATCGTTGTTGCGTACCGCCGCACCCAGCAATATTCGAGCTATTTGAGACGGTATGAACATAATCGAATCTTGGACAGATAAACCAGTGATTGATATTATGAACAACTGTCCGCGACTTGAGGGTACGATGACACGCAGACCACCAGGTCACCGAATCAGCCCGCTCCATTAGGTAACCTCGCCCGACAAGCGCAAAGACCAGTTCTAACCGGGAGTCATCCCGAGAGATGTGGATGACAGTCATAGAACTTCAGCACTAAAGTGATGTTCTGGCTGTGCTAGTGTGACATCAGACCCATAGGAATTAGCTTTTGTCCCATGTCGGGATTCCTGGACATGACAGGGTCCCAGTACCTCATGAGTGTAGCAGGCGGACTGAAATCTCCGGGAAGGCCCACTGACATGCTTGACGGCGTCAAATGCTGCCCCCAGGCATTAATCGTTGGTCAATTGATCTATAGTCGCTGGTTTGTCTGATCCTGACTCGATTACTTACATGCCACTGTTATATTGGAATACTGCTGTCTGCAGAATTAAGCAACTTTCCCTCACTCACTTCTACTATTGTCCATGTAATCTACTTGTCTCAAGGCCATCTGTCAAATCCAACCACTTCGTAGCGTTTCCTTTTACAGTAACTGGGAGTCAGTGGTTGGACCAAGGGAGGCTACTCTTACAACATTAGTGTCGAGGTCATTTTCGATAATTTTGAGAGAAGTGAAAACCAGGTTCAAATCCATATTATATGAACATTACACAGCATTGTAATACACGCTGTTTGTGTTATTTAACAGCTGTTAACAAAGGATTCACGAACACTAATGTCCCATCAGAACAACATGGTTAAAAGTATATTTAAAATCAATCATAACAGACAACCTTTATCAGAAATATGGTCTATTTTTTTTATAAAAAAACTATATATAACATATAAGTATATTTGTTGAATAAAACCGAATATATTTATAAAACATGTAACTAAAACACTAACAGCAAATGCTGGTAATACAACTGTCCCCAGTCTTCTTTGACTGAGACCCCGAGGATGCAGCTGGACAGTTTATTGATGTGAAGAAACAGCATTCTGGTGTAGTATTGCTGCTGATCATGTGTTTTTTGGGTGAGGTGAGGTGAGGTGAGGTGAGGTGAGGTGAGGTGAGGTGAAATGGAGGTCAACATCGCTTTCAAGATTATTAAATAGCAAAGTATGCGAATGTGTGTGTGGCTGCTTGTACTATTCCGGACTAATGCTGGTTTTATAGTGCTAGCCCACTGAGATACCATGCACCAGTTCAACATGGATACCCCTAGGGCTTGGACTCGGGTACTCAGGTCCTGAGTAGGACCCGGGTACCCACAGGACCCGGGGTTAGTCAAAACTCCATGGCTACACAAGGCCCTTCATGTTCGCATTCCTTTCTGACTATGCACACGTTCTTTTTTACTTATATTTCTTTGAGTAAAGATAAGGCTTCAGTCAATTCATTATATGCATGATTAGGTCGTTTTATGCATGTATCAAAGCAGCTTTTGCCAGGACTCCAATAAAACTTGAGACCTACAGCAGGTACCTGGGTAGTGTTGGGTAATAGGGGGTCAGGTACCCGGAGAGTAAATTTGGACTCGTCTCAGCCTAGATACCTGACTCAGTGTACTGACTCCGAGCCGACCAGCTCATTTTATCCCCATTGCAGAGCACCATGCAGAGTAACAAGAATTACCATCTGTAAATATCTTTTGGTATGATGGATGCAGTCAGGATAAAATCAACGACCTTCTCAGAGCTCCAGATAAGCTTTTCGTGCTGTGGGTATTTTACCCATGCATTTTAAAATCATTGGGTATCAGTTATTCTATCTGGGTATTCAAATTTCTGTTACCCACTAGCTTTTACACATGTAGGTATTTAAGTTAAATATTTAAAAACACTATTCATCTAGTCATCTGGGTTCGAGAGCTTTATGGGACTAAAAAATACCACGATGCTTCCACAAGAAAGTTTGATGGCAAATGATCCTGTTGTAACTGTCATCGTGGAGTTTGGCAAGGTTGACGGAATGCCCGTTTATAATTTCAAAATAAGTTGCTGATTTGCTCATCGAATATGCAGGGTTACTTCGCAATATTTTGATGATACACACAAGTTTTATTTTTGTAGCTTATCTGTAATGTTCGTTGCGTATTTGATACGCTTGGATTTTATTTTACTGCATATTTCTGCATTTCTGATGCGTATTTGACGCAGATACGCAGCTTATCTGGAGCTCTGCTTCTGCTCTCCATGCAGACTCTTAGTTTTTTGGCTTGAAGAAAGAGTTGATAGACATCTGTTTCTTCTTATCACCTGGATCATCTCCCGAAGATTCCCTTTTCCTCTTGGTAACCTGAATGACATTGGAATTACACATTGAAATCTTGCAGTCATGAACCTGCTTCCATTTTGTTTTGTCAAATCAGTTTTTAAAATCCTGGCTCAAATACAGGATCTGGGGCTATAATTTTGAGTTCAAGTATAACATCTTTGCCTCAAATCATTGTTTCACCAACTTTATGGATAACTATCAAAGTATTGACCGTGGCGTGGAGGAGTTACTTCCCTTTATTACAACTTCAGGAACCATTTGTCTTGTTTGGTTAACTTAATGGCCACATGATGATGATGTTTCAACATGTTCAAGTGACAGAAGATTACAGATTATTACAGGGACAAGTGTGAAAAATTAAATATCTATACATTTGGGTAAACAAAGAATTAAAAACTTTATAATCCTAAATGTATCCTCACCTTCTTTTTACTGTCATCTAAGGATTTCTCATATGCTTTGAAAATCTACAACAGAAATAAATAAATGCAATTAGATAGTGTAATATGGCCTTTTCAGTGAGTGAGTGAGTTTGGTTTAACGCCGCTTTTAACAGTTTTCCAGTTATATCATGGCATGTCAACTGAATGTGGGAGGAAAGCCTGAAAAGATGCAGGTCTCAGACGTTTACCACTTTGGTGAAACCAACGAGCACGGGTATGGTGCTGACAAACCTAGAAATATAATCGGGGCCAACCGGGATTCGAACCCACAATCATTGGTTTCTGGCATGCCCAAGGAACAAATCTCTGCACAGCGAATCGTGGCGCCACTGGGCCACCTGTGCACCCTGGCCTTTTCAAGACAACTGCTGAGATTTCACAGCTGACAGTAAGACTGTGTACTTCCAAACAGACTTACGTGAACTTTCTTGGTTTCATTGTCACAACAGCTCCATTTGTTGTCCAAAACACTTTGAAACTATCCAAGTTTACTCTTCAATGTTTAAATATTACTTATCAACTGAGTTAGCAACTAATCATTTGCTTTCTGTCATCATGAATAATTAGAGAAAACAAATTTAATATGTTCATATATAAGATAGCTATGAGATAAATCGCAAAGAACAGTGAAGAATGAAGCATGGTTTATTTCACGATAAAACATTGTTCTATCATGACGTCATTTCTGGGGATTTGGACATGCGCTTGCAACTTGATGTTGTTGTAAATTGGACGTTATTTTTAAGAGGGAAGTGGACTGTGAGTTGTTCCCCATAGATGTAGCTGGGAGAGATATGACAATCTGTATTACTATTAAGAGAAAAGGTACAGATAATCAGCGTGAAAATTGTTAGAATATTTGGGAAATACCATTCTAGTAGCCAACTTAAAGCCCTTCCAAGGTAGATACAGTGAAAAGACCATTTCAAGGCCAGACTGCCAAATTCAGGGCCATGTCAAGCCTGTGCAAACCTTGGTAATCTGAGGTTAATAATTCGTAACTTATATCACAACAATAAAATGTTATCAGTAACAATGTCTGCACCTTCTTCATCGCCGTGGAGACAGCAGCCTCCAGGAACTCCTCCTTGGTTACCCATCTCCTCTCCTCGGACTCCGTCTCCTCCTCCACCTTCTCCTCTAGCACCGTCACAGCCTCCACGCTGTACGTCTGGTGGATATGTGAGAAGATGTGGACCACCTGGGTGTGAAGGGGGGGTGTTCATCAAACGGAATCCCTTGTATTATTTTACTTATTTGTTTGATACCACAGTCAGCAAATAAATGAGTGTTTTAGATATTTAACACTTTGGTGAAACCGACAAGCACGTGTGTGACGCTGACAAACCTAGAAACATTATCGGGGTGAATCTGGGATTCGAACCCACGTTCATAGGTTTGTGGCATGCCTAAGGGATGGACGACTGGACGACCTGTGCCCCCAGTAAATAAATGAACTAGTCTTGGTAATCCAAAACAGGTCAACAGCATGATCATGCCATCAAGAATGGCCAAACACAATCAGCCAAGTCTCAGACCACCTGATCACCATCATGGTCGACTCCTAGACAAGTACCAAGAACTAGAGCCCTCTCAAGATCAGGGAAAGAATTGGTCTTCACCAACCCATGCTTGTCATAATAGGCGACTAACAGGATCCGGTGGTCAGGCTTGCCGACTCGTAGATCGATTCAAGATCAGATATGTTTCAGATTCTTAGACTTGTAGTCTCTTCACAGAAAAGTCCCAGAGATTTATTATCTCCATTTTATGTGAACAAATCGGAGACCTAGTATGATGCTTTACAAGCTCCAAAAGCGTCAGACTTCAACAGTTCGCGATTTGTAGAAGTAGTGTTAAGTTAATGGAGGGACGAGGGACAAACTCGGCATGTCATAACATGAAAGGATGAGTTCCTGGTGAGCTAACAAAAGTGTTACAGCGTGGAATGGTGTCTCACCTCCCCAACACTGTGTTTCTCCTGCACCGCCTCGATGCTTGTGTTATACTTGGAGTCGATGATGTCCAGCATGTCCGGGGCTTTCATGTCTTCCTCCATCGTCTGACTGGGAAACTCCCACAACCCGGCAAGTAAGCCTGGAAAAGAAATAACATCAAGTTTGTTTGTTTCTTGTTTAAAGCCTAACTCAACAATACACAATATATATTTTAGCCTCAAACACTTCTATTGCATATTAAATAGACAAACACGAAAATAAGTTCATTTTTTTCTGGAATATCAACATGCGTCCATGTCTGCTTGTACTAGTCTGGACTACTGCCAGTTCTATAGTGCTAGCAGATACCATGCCACAGTTTAACATGAATACCCCACTCAGACACAGTATACTGATTCCGAGCCAACCAGTCCCGGTTTTATATCCTAAATGCCAAGCACCAGACAGGGTTATAACAAATACTGCCTTTAACGTCTTTTAGTACGACGTGACTGGGGGTCGACGTCTCACACATGTAAACCAATACATCATGAACTCATACGTTGAATACTTTGGTGTTCATTGATATTCTGGGGCTGCTGGTCTGCATAATGGTTCAATTCTTCATACCAGGCCCACTTCTGGCGTCCACAGCCATTATGTTGATGGAGTATTGGTAAAATTAGCTTACAACCATACGCACTCCCTCAGTTATTGATATGGCAACGTGGAGTTGAACACCTCGTGCCATACACAACCGGTGTCAAATCTATTGTTAGAAATATGTCGAACGTTGAAATCCTTGTCACGTAATCAATCAAGAATAACAGTGACCATGATTTCAGATTACAAATTAACCATTAGCAAGTAAAAGGTTTGATGATATGACAGCCGAGTTATGAAATATACATTCCCAATTCTAGGATGCAAGCTGGAAATACATGAGTGTTACCCACCTTTCTTTGGCCTCTGTACTATCAGGAACCTGTGCTTGTCATCAGAACACTTCTTACACAGCACGCACACCCTGGCGATCTCTTGTCGTGGAGGTTTCTTCTTGCCCTTGCGTGGGTAGTTCATCACACCGAGGCTGACGCAATCAGAGGCATACCGGTACTTAGAGATCGACCAGTCAATATTATAGGAGGGCCAGGACTACAGTAGATATGTATAAGTCACTGCTTCAAGACATACCATTTTATACTTCGAAAGGTGGAGTAATTTTTTTTAAATAATTTTATCAATCAATTTTGGACATCAAGCATGCCCAGGACAAGTTTCATAATTTTGGTAAAACCTGACACAAAATGACTTTTAGGGAACATTCTCATAACAGACCTCCAACAGCACATGTCCTAATTAAGTTGTCCCTAATCTTTTGACATTGTCTGAGCATTACGAGGATATAAAATACAATACCTGCTGTCCCAGGGCTCTTCTTTGTCAAAACATAATTTACAGTTATCAGCACCTGTGACAAGACAAGAAGTTTAATACAAGCAACTTGACCATAGAAATAAAGGGAAATCAATAAGAAAATATTTAAGTTTCACATTCAACATATACATACATCACACAAGATAAGATTTTCGTTTTTTCTTCTCTTTGTATATTTTCTCAGTCAGTATGCCAGGATGTAAGTAATAAATTTAAAAATAAATGTGAGTAGTGATTTAAAATTAACTAAAAAAATCCTCTTGAATTAAGATATGATAAATACAAACAACAGGATGTTCAAAATAAGTGTATTTTTAACCAAACAGTTTTAAAATGGTTGTTTTTAGGTTCCATCTAATTTGGTAAAATTAGCCACAGCTGATCACTTATCTTGTATCCTAGCAACAAGAGGTGAGGTGAGGTGGATGGGGTGTAACGTCGCGTCCAAGATTATTGCACTTATATAGCGACGTGCATGCACGTGTGTGTGGCTGCTTATACTACCAGTATTCCGAACTGATGCCGATTTACGGTGCTAGCCCACCGAGATACCATGCAGCAGTTTAACATGAATACCCCACTCAGACACAGTATACTGACTCCGAGCCGACCATTCCTTGTTTTAGCCCCTTAATGCCAAGCGCCAGGCAGGGTAAGAACAAGTACATCTTTTGGTATGACGCGGCCCATCTTCTCGAGGCACAAGAGTTAACTGAATTCAAAAAGTCTGGTTTCCACCCTTGCCGAACTAAGCTGGAATTACTGGGCTCTATCGTAGCACCACCAGTGGCTAATACCAGTTATGTCCCTTCTAAGCCTCTCCTATGGACCAATCAGATTCCACCTCTCATATCACTTGCATTTGCTTCACACAAAATGGTGGCGCCCGGTCAGGACGATCTGATCGATAATCAAGATCTATATTGTGATAAAACGGGTCTTACATCGCGAAATGCATCAAATCACGTGAGCACCTTGATTAAAAATAAGAAAAGATTTGGAAAATATCTGCTGACAACGAGTTGGTGGTGCACATGCTTTGCAAATCCTGCAATCGACCAAAATCTGGACGACAGTTTACGAACCATATTTCGATTTCGGTGCACGATTTTGATTGGACTATGCATAGACTCGATAGTCCAGCCAAAATGTAACTCCATAATACCAGCCTAGTTCGGCAGGGGTGGAAACTGGACTTTTATTGTCATTTAACTCTCTTGCCTCGGGAAGATGGACGCGGCCGGGGATCAAACCCCGGACCTTCCTCTCTCCAGGCAGGGACTCTACCACTAGACCATGGAGGCAGTCCCTAGCAACAAGAAGACTTACAACATTCAATGTCAAGTAGAGTCTCAGTCTCCTCTTTTTTGACCACCTTTTCCACCAGTTTACTTGCCGACATCTGCCTCTCTCGCTCGACCTGCAGCAGTATGTATAAAGAAATGAACCAGTAACATACAGTGTAGGCCACACTTTGTGTTTTACTTGCTTACGGACCCGCCAACTGTAAATTTTGTTGAATTGAAAAAATAATAATTCAGAATCTGCTCTTATTCTTTCCCTGCCAATATGCTGATAGCATATTGCACTCAAAAATATTTTCTAAAAAGTTGAAGTTGACAAATATATTAAACATGGAAGTCAAAATAAAGTTTGTTGTTGTTCCTGAAACTGATAGGATGCAGAGATACACAACAGCATTTCCGCATGATTCGTCAGGTTCGCATTGCTTAAAACAACAGCTGTGTTGCAGGCTCCCCTCCCACGTTAAACCATTTTCACTTTTTTGTACCCGCCAACCTGTAGTGGAGCAGAAAAAATTGAATTGCTTCCTCCGACCCCATACTGACAGGTATTTTCCTGTAAAAAAACTGTAAAGCAAGTATAAAAAGTGTGGCCTAACTTTAATTTACGATTTTGTCACAACACCCATCATGTTGGAGATTGAAATACCGACAACAACAATAAATGTCCGAAAAGATTTTTTTAAAGTGATTTCCTACCCAAATGTTTGCAGCGGGATGGAAAAAATTAAGAAAAGGAGAAATGACAGTTCATTTTTGGTCTATGAAGCCAAACAGTTACTTCTCTTCCAACATTGATCTACTTTGGAGGGTTTTAAAACCGAAGTAATTATTCATATGTTGGGGATAACAAAAAAGAGTTTTCATAAGGTTTTATTCATTCCACATGTGTGACATTTTGAGTTGGTGGATCTGTAAGCCAGGCAAGTTTGGCTCTGATGTACTGAGCAAGGCAGGCATATTAATGGATGCACATGTAAAATCATGAAGACAACAACCATGTCTCTCGATATCATTAACTTTGTTGTTTTTCTCATGAACACATCTCAACATTAACTACAATTAGTTTAATAACATAGATTCCACAATACACAGATGAATTTCAGATTAGAGTGGCCTGAATGTAATGCATTAGTTTTCAAATGTCAAGTCTGTCAAGGCTTCAGTGGCTGACAGTATGGTCGCTGGAGTTACCTCCCCTACCTGACAGAGGGCTTTGCACTGCTGTCGGAGTGGACAGGAGGAACAGTCGGGGGACTTAGGTGTGCACACCGTGGCACCCAGCTCCATCACACTCTGGTTGTAGTCTCCCGGGCGATCTGGGTCCACCAACATGTTTGCATGTGACCTGCACGAGAAACAGCTTTCAGCATCAACTTGACAACAGGAGCGTGGTACACAATCAGCTCTACAAACTAATGCAAGGCATCACAGGAACAGCAGTCTTTGGGGTGGTAACCCTCAAGCTTTGAGCAACTAATTGAAAGGGGATGAGGTGAAATGGGGTTTAACGTCCCGTCCAAGATTATTGCACTTATATAGCGACGTGCATGTAGTTGTACGTGTGTGTGTTTGTGTGGCTGCTTGTACTAGTCCGGACTGATGCCAATTTATAGTGCTAGCTCACTGAGATACCATGCCGCAGTTTAACATGAATATCCCACTCAGACACAGTATACTGACTCCGAGCCGACCAGTCCTTCTTTTAGCCCCTTAAAGCCGAGCGCCAGACAGGGTAACAACAAGTACCATCTTTTAACATCTTCGGATATGACTCGGCCGGGAATCAAACCCCGGACCTTCCGCTCTCCGGACGGACGCTCTACCACTAGACCACAGAGGCGGTTAATTGAAAGGTAATAAGACGATAAAAGATAGCAAGGGAGATCTTAGCCATTCATTTAAACTCTCCCACAGAAAAGATTACTGGCCCTCAAAATTCAAATGTAAAGCATAGGCATATCCAGAGGGCTTTACCCCCCATTTTTGAAAAACAAACATAGTATGTTGTCGGCAGTAAAAGTATCTGAGAGAAGATTTTGATATTTTGGACCCCTCCCTTTTAAATATTTTCTTCGGGATACAAAACAAAATGTGATCACAACAACTGTTGATCACTATTAATCTTGATTTTGTAATAAATTTACCATTCACACATTCTGACATGGTGCTCTCTCTTGTCAATCATATTTTGTCAAAATGTCTGCACAGGATGTTCGATAAAAACATGAAATGGCATAAACATGATAAAAAAGTGATTTATCTAAAGTTCTGTGAATAACTGTCATTTCAAAATATTACATCCTCTGGTAAAGAAACTGAATTCTTAATTATCAAAACCGTTTAGAACATGTCTTGTGTGAGAAAACGCAGCTCCAATAATTTGTCACATCGCCATATACGTAAGCAGATATGGAGAAATGTTTCAATACTAGGTTGGACACTGGATTTCCACGAGAACATTGAACTGTAGTATTACCAGAAAGTATCCATGGTGTGTTGATTGGTGCTGTCGGCGCCAATCTGTCGGAGTCGAGCCAAGACTCGGATCACATTCCCATCAACCAGTCCAGTAGCCTATAATACAGGGACAATCAAATTTGAAGGCATACAGGCTAATAGAGTGAGTGAGTGAGTTGGGTTTACCACTGCTCTGATGAATATGCCAGTCATATCACAGCGTGTCAGCTTAATGTGGGAGGAAAGCCTGAAGTGATGCAGGTTTCAGACGTTTACCACGTGGTGCTGACAAACCTAGAGGCTAATAGAAAATACACATTAACAAGACAAGGCAAAGTTATAACTTCAGAATATTGTCCTTTAAACTTCACGGTCTATGTTATAACTTTGCTATGCACTCTGGGCCCAGCAGTGTAGCAGCTTTTATCAGAGTCAAGAATGTCAGCGAGTTTAATGTCACTTTGAACAGTATTTCACTTATATCACAGTATATCTATTTGATGTGCGTAAGTCTTCGGCATTTACCATTTTAGTGAAACCCATGAGCACAGGTCTGGTACTGACAAACCTAGAAATATAATCTTGGTGAACTGGGATTCAAACCCGCAATTGTAGGTTTCTGGCACTCCCAAGGGACGCAACTTTGCACTCCAAATTTTGGTGCCTTAGACGACCTGGCAACCCGTACCCCTTGTCTATTGATGATATACCGTGTTATATGCTATAGTAGCTAATAGAAGCCTCTTTCAAGGCCACAACTGTATGATGGCCTACTCCAAGGCCCCAGCAGTGTAGCGGCCTGTACCATGGTCTAAATACTAACCTCACTGTATGATATAGATGCTATGGCCCCAGCAGTGTAGCGGCCTACACCAGGCAGTTCCTTCAGGAGGGTCGCCGCTGTCTTTGGCATCTCACCGTCCAAATCATCTACCACCTGAAAACATAAAAGCAAAAACACTTCAGATGTTGTTACACACTTACACAAAGCCATGTTATGAGAAAGTTTAAGGGTATCTTCTTCATAAATACATCCAAAAAAGTCATTTAACTAATTCACCAGTAAACACTTTAATCTTATCAATGTTCTGCTAGCAGCAAAAGTTCATAAAAAATAAATAACATTCTTCTAGAAATAGTGATTATCCAGGAGATCATGTCTCCATTCTATTACTGTTAATACCCTGACAACCTCACCACCATAGCTTCAGTTCAACAGTGAGGCCACTACATCTCTCTTGTCACTAACTTAGCAAAACGCTTCTTCTCAAGCAAATTCAGCACAGATCTACATTCAAAAGCGCAGTCTGTACTTTAAATAAACAAAATAAAGTAAACATTTTTGGAGGTAAGTGGCAAATGAAGCAATCTCATTAAAATCAGATCTTAGTTTTCGCTACCGCTAAACAAAGATCTGAGGACATCCCATTACGGGTCATTTCGCGAATTTTGACCGACCAATGAAATGACTGACAAGAAATTGACATTAGCCAATCAGAAGGCAGCTTTCTCTAGCTTTACGACACTAGTTTCAAACTGGCGACTACGCTTCGAAACATATTTTGACGTCATCTCGATTAAAAAAATTAAAACTGATAAGAAGAACATTCTGGAATGGCTAATTGATGGCCTAGGTTGTATGGATATAATCATAAAACCTGTAACTGTCGTTCGGAATATCCCATGTTAAATATTTCATGGTTGCATGATAAGAAAACACATTCCAACTGTCACTTTCATGATCTGGTAAGCGATGATCTGATTGGTTGGATGAAAGGTCGATCTGACGTGACCCGTAATGGGATGTCCTCAGATCTTTGTTTAGCGATAGCGAGAACTAAGATCTGATTTTAATGAGACTGCAAATGAAGAGAAATGAATATGGTTCTTAAACCTTTCGATGGTTTGTAGCTAAAGATATGTGCTGTAGATTCTACACATTGACAGACTCTATAATGTGTTCATCTGCAGTCACCAGTCGTGACATAGAACGAAGAGGGGATACAATACTAGCAGGTAACCTCACTCCATACTTGTCAGAAGGTTCAGCAAGGCAGCATGTGCGAGTGTTAGTTACAGCGAAACTGCCTCTCCTGACAACGACTCAGTGCATATATACACCTCACCTTCTGTGCTCCCTCGTGGAGTCTGCGACCTCGGGAATAGTACCCTAGACCGGACCACATCTCGTTCACTTCCTGCAACATGACAACATTACTGAGCTTGCTTTATATCAAAGTCTGGGCCAAAAGAAGTTAAGTCTACAAGCCCTAACTAATATTTTATTTTCGTAAAGCACAAATGTGTTGGGGTGATTATGTAAATTTGCAGTCAGCGGTATAAGCAATTTTTTTGCTTTTCAGACTAGTCATATATTTTATTTCACTTTTTTAAGAGTTGTTATTACAAAATTTCCCATAGTGGTAGAAGTTGAAGACAGAAAACCAATTGTCATGTAAACTGTTAGAACATAAAGTTTGAGTGCAACAGTAGAATTACTGGGCAGCTACTTGTTCTTACCTCGAGCGTGGCCTTGGCTAAATCTTGAAGAGTTGGCCATTTCTGAAACGTCATAAAGTGATTCACTATTAATTTTAATCTAACCCTTATTTGTAACTTGGTAAATACAAAATACCAAAATTCAGATGGGGTGAATAAATTCTGCTCTTACATAGAAATAAGACTGATGACATTCCATGAGAAGACAATCATGTGACCGTGAGAGTTCATCATATCATGATGTAAATGTAGCGGCCATAAAATTTCCGAGTCCCGTGATGGGAATCAAACCACGGACCTTCTGATCCGAGGTCGGACGCCTTGTCCACATGACCAAAGAGGTTAACTCCGTCAGCAAGCTGACAAGGTAAGGATGTCATCTATAGGATGACTCCACACCCTGCTACATACTCCCCCATCAACAGAAGGCATGTCCCGGGCCGCAAAGTAGGGTACTGAGGCTTATTTTGCTCAAATGTAATATGAACGTGCTCAGCCCCACGTTGAGCGCCAATGTAGCGGCCATAAAATTTCCGAGTCCCATGATGGGATTCGAACCACGGACCTTCTGATCCCAGGTTGCACGCCTTGTCCACATGACCAAAGAGGTTAACCCCGTCAGCAAGCTGACAAAGTAAGGATGTCATCTGTAGGATGACTCCACGCCCTGCTACATAAAGGATCACAGTGAGAAGTTACAGAGGCAGCGGTTACCTTCATCCACTTGTTGTAGTAGTCGATGACAGTAGCGACTTGTGTCTGTTGTAGCATCACCTCCGACACCCACACTACAACAACACAATGGAGCGTCCTATACTCGGTCTCATCACTGTTCTCATATGAATAGGTTTCTCAACAACACTTTGGGAACCCTCAATTTTTTTCATCTCTGTATCTGGGAGATATTGCTAGAAATGTACTGGTTTAATGGCTTTTACTGAGGAACGTTGTCCAACTGTTTCCCATTTCTTGCTTTGCAGTGCTTGTATTCTCCCATGATTCTGTTTCTTATCCAGAATAGTATTACAATCAACAACAATTAAGTCAAATATCAAATTTATCATTCTGTAAATCTTCAAAGTACATAACATGATAGCATTTCATATTTACCTGCATATGCCCTTTGGTTCAAATCTGATCTGGTTGCCTGAAATCAGATGTCAAGAATAGTGTTGATGAAATAAACTCAACTATGTTACAAACTAAGCAGCAATCAGTGTACTGATGTTCAAAATAGCTGAACAAGCACAGAAGCATGAAATGGGATTTAATGTCCCGTTGAAGATTATTACAGTCATATAGCGATGTGCATGCAAATTTGGGTGTTTTGCAGAATTTATGACATAATTAAATCTAGACAAACCCTAACCTTTTTTAACCGAGGTGGAACTTGTCATGGAAATTGTATAAAAAAGAAGAGTTTGGAACCTAAGTCCATCTTGTTGCCATGGAAACGTAAAAAATACAAATTTCTATAATTTTTAAATAGCAAAAGGCACCAGTTCAGCATGTACCTGACAGACCTGCAAAGTTTGATGAAAAAATATTGAAAGGTTTATGAGTTATGCTCCGGAAACGAACCCTACCCTCACAGAACCTAAGTCCATCTTGTTGCCATGGAAACGTAAAAAATAAAAATTTCTAAAATTTCTAAATAGCAAAAGGCACCAGTTCAGCATGTACCTGACAGACCTGCAAAGTTTGATGAAAAAATATTGAACGGTTTATGAGTTATGCTCCGGAAACGAAACGTGACGGACAGACGGAGCCCGTTTCTATATCACCCGCCAACTTTGTTGGGCGGGGGATAATAATAAACTTACTGGAGGTGAGATTTGCATTTACCGTAATTTCTATTGTCTATGCCCCTTTGTGAACAGGCCCATAATCTGATAAGAAAAACATTCTGTCACCCACTCAATCTGTGATAGAGCTGGCTTTCAAAGAACTGTTTTGGTATGAGAATCCTATAGCTCTGTACAGCATTATCTGAATACCTACCAGTACCAACAGGCTTTCACATATAAAGTTCTTTTCAGGTAGCCAACAGGACCAGAGTTAAAGAAAAAACTATACTTCACGATATCACCACATGAAGTTTGAAGACAAGATGTGTCTGGTCAAATACAAGCATAAATTACCATTTTCCTCCATGGTAGATCTCTCTTGTTTGCATCATACCAAGACAGTAGATTCTCTCGAACAGCAGAGATCTCTTCCACTTTGAAGTCATGGACAGGCGGGATCTTCATGTCATCGGTTTCACCTAGTGACATCAACAGGTCACTTAATGCTTTGACCTTGTACATAAGTTATCATTCAACAAACTGTAAATTAAATGTCATTTTTTTATGTTCAAGACTACTTTGACTGCATAGAACATTATTTTCATCAGAATATGACAGAGGAGAAGAGGATTGGAGGTGGTAGGGGTTGAGGAGGGGTAGTGAAAGAGTGGATGGAGACAAACAAAAAATCGCCATAAATGATGAAACATTACACAATCAATTCGCTTGTTTCACATGCATTCCTCTCTTGGGTATGAGATTAAGTCCTCAGGCTCTACACTTGTTGTAAAAGCTGGCTAAATTCTTAAAGATCAGGTGACGAAAATGTGTGATTTTATGAACATGGTGACCTGTCTGATTGTGTGTCACCATACCCCAGTGCACAGATTGTGGAGTATGCTATCAACTTTCAGATATTCAAGTGCTTGTTTATCTGACCAAGATTTAGTTAATAGTATGTAATCTAGCTGAAACATTGCTGATTGTAACATAAAACAAAACATTCTCTCAGTCACTCCATCAAATGGTATAACACCAGCTGGTGATATATTACATTCATTCAAGAGGACAAGACATGTGTTACGACCACAATGAATATTCATAATTGGTACAGAACAAACTTTTTCAGGGATAAAATATGCCATAGCACAACAGGTGAATGTGTTGAAGTTCTCGAAAAACAAAGATAATGTGCAGAATAATATATTAACGTGAATTCGTAACCATGTTTTTAAAGTCTTAACAGCTACAAGTATTCAGAATATGTAAAAAATTACAGGAAATGATGTCCACAGAAGCCTGGTACCAGTCCTTATGAGAGTGACAGGTGTGTACATTGTGCACAGCCACAGGTAAACTACCTGTCAAGCATGACACCCCCTTAAAGAGTACATTTCACAAATGCAAGTATCTATATCTTCAACACATCTAATACCAGTAGTGATTCCACTTCGCATATTCAATCATAACTACCACACACATATATCATGATATATGTTTATTGTTCAATATATACCTTTCACTTTGGCATGTTTGGATGAATTTTCTTTTCCTTTTTTTACTGTCTTCTTTCCAGAGTGTGATCGGTTCTTGGCCATCCTGGAGATTATTAGAGTTGGTAGTTTTCGAAGTATGATCGATATTGGGCCTGCAAAATTATCCAAAAATAAAACACAAAATGGATAAATGAAAAACATCCATACGTTCCTCACTGTGCCAGTGATGGAATGAGAGTCAACACAACAGGTTTTAGAATACAACTCTTTGGTTAACAAAGACTTTGAGGAGTTGCACAACCTAGGCCCTAGCTCTGTTAGTACATTGTGACCCTAGCCCTGTTAGTACATTGTGACCCTAGCTCTGTTGGTACGTTCTAACTGCAACTTTAAGTGAAGCAGGTCAGTTATGTTACTGAAACACCTGTGATCTAGGCCTAGACATGATTTCTTTCCGACAATACCCAACTGTCATAAGTATTCTGACACATCATCAGTTCCCCTATGTCCCACGGTACAAGGATAACAATAAATCAGTTCCCGATCACGGTTAATTTCATACCTGCTAGCTTCGAAGCCCTTCCAAATTGTATAACTCAAATACGGCGGGAAAGCAGACTACACCGGAAGTCAAGGGATCAGTAATTATCTTGTGTTTACACGTACATGTAATCTCCTCTTTTCGAAATATTACAAGTTCTTAAAGGTCAGTTATCCTTTCTTTTAATGTTAAATGTTTTAATAATGACACGACTAGCAGGACAAAGGAAACATTTTACTTTACAAACACCATTACATGGACTGACAATGGCTGCTCTTTGGAGGTGTGGCAAGGTCACGGTCAAAGAATGAGAGAGTTTGGCCGAGAAATATCGCTGGAGATCTCAGGCCAAACGTTATGTAAGCATAAATTCATTTGAATAGGATAATACGACAGTACTTTGCATTGCATAGTACAGAATAGTCATGTTAAATGTCACTAACTGACAAAGAGTTTTTGAGAAGTTTTTAAGGTAAGTAGATCTAGTCCAGTAAATATAAAGGGTCAAGTCAAGATAAGAACTTAAATTAGGCCTTGAACTGTTGAATGGACTTTCACTTTGAATTAGGAGTAATTAAAGATTTAGAGTTTTAAATGATGTTTACATAAGATGCATAAATCATGATAATGTTCCATTTTATAGCATAGATTGTATATCAACATAGATCTACCATTAAACAAATAGTAAAAGACGATCAACTTATCAGCCACTTGCTATTTTGATTTTTTAAATAGTTCAAGTTAAAAGGACAATTTACAGCAAAATTGAAAACAGGTTTTTTTCAATCCAAAGAAATGGAGGTCTCAAGAAATGGATCTATTTTGGGATACGGGTACCCCTAATTGATTAAATGTATCTACAATGCTCCTGTCACCTCTTTCTCCTGTATTCAGTGAGTGAGTGAGTATGGTTTTGTGCCACTTTTAGCAATATTTCAGCAATATCACAGCAGTGGACACCAGAAATACTCTTCACACATTGTACCCATGTGGGGAATTGAACCCAGGTCTTCGGCATGACGAGCGACCGCTTAAACCACTAGGCTACCCACTGCCTCTACTGTATTCAGAGGAACATACTGTATATTTTATGTCATGTCTGTGCTAATTCTTTTCTATGATTGCTACATGAGGTAGCTTTATTGTTTGAGAACCAAATTATGAAAATCTGAAGAAAGATTGACTAAACATCAATACAGGACTCACAATTTGTAGTAACAGGTAGCAGAAAATGACAGATGGAAAGCTGGTTTGCTCTATGCACTAGGCTGCTACACAGAGCTACTGATTGTTCCATAGTGTTTTCCTAATACATGCCCAATTTGAAATATAACACACTAACAACCCTGCCACAATGTACATGAATCGTAAACCCGCGAAAACTGCAATCCTTAAAACACTTGCCTTCAAATATATGTACTTATATTTTTGATCATGCAACCTAGGTCTCATTGAGAGGGTACAGATTTATGGTTGTACCAGGTATATATATTTGGTAGTAGATTTTTTCCATTTACTAATTTGCCCAAAAGATCGGGTGGCTTGTCGCTTCATTTTTAATGACTTCTATTATCGCTGCCTAAACTCATAGTTACCCTGATCACTAGTTAATCCTCATTCCAAATAATATTGTCAACATGTTTTTATGTTTATTTACTTTTGTTGCAGAAAGAAGGAGAAGACAAATATTCTCTGAAAATGAATTATGCAAGATTCTTGAATGCCACCAGCCTGGCAAGAAAGCCATCTCCAATTAGAGTTCTTAGTAAGCAATAAATTATTATATATTAGTCATGCTAGTTATCATTTCATTCCAAACCATTGTATTTCTGGATTTAAAGATCATTTGAAGTAAATTGTGGTAGATAAGATTAATAAGTATAGAGAATCAAATGCCTCATGATATCAAAGTTTCAAGGCTTTTTTTCAAGATTCTCATTAATGACATTTCTTAGTAGATGTCTGATTGTAATAAAAACATCATTTGAACAATTGTTTATTGTGGTCACATAAACTCTTTTTTAGCTGAAGCATGCAGAGAGATCAGTTAATACTTCAATTCATCCCCAAACCTGTCTGGTAAAATAATGTATTCTGTGGCCTACCTGTCAAATTGTGTTCAGAATCTTGTCTGTGTTTTATATGGGCGCAAATCAAGAATTTGTGTCCAGAGACATAAAAAAATAATTCACGTGTAGGTCTTTCTTTAAGACAGTCTGGACTGTTTTCACCTGGATTTTAACCCCCCAAAATTTATCTTTTCTTAGTGACCCTCTAAATACTCTTGGATTTGCTTGACATATGAATTCAGAACAAGTCTCACACATGGGCCTCCAGTAATTAATTATGTTATAAACTAATAATCAACCATAGACAAACCTCAGAATTCCAGTTTTGTTTGTCAGCTTTGTGAGCGTTGAATCCCAAACACATTCGCGTCTATCTTTCAGCCAGCATTGTGCTTCAGTCTCCCCCCTCCCTCATCTCCATGGCCGGCGGTATGCCCAACGCTGAACTGTTTCCTATAAAGGAGGCTTCAATAACTCTCAGGTAATACAAACTGTCTGCTTCAATAATGCAATCAAGTGGATCACACTTGAACAGTTAGGTTCCAAATGGATCCTTAAAGTACTCATGGAAATGAAAAAAACACCTGTTTTGCTGGATTTAATAATCGACACAAAGCATTACGTAGATGTAAATACGAAATAACAAAACAACTGGAAAAGTACTAGTCTGGATTTGCTAGTTTTATCTCAGTGCTCAATACAAAATGTACTTTACAGGAGGTAATTTGTAGGCACTTTCAACATTCAAAAATAAAACTAAGTCCAAATTGACATGGCAGAAACAGGCTATAGGCATTATGCAAATAAGCCTGGAAAAAAGTTATCAAAAAACAATAAAAATAACAGCTATGTTTATGTACATAATAATAATGACATGTAAGTTGTTGTTTGAGAAGGGAATATGTTACTTTTACGTTCTGATATTTTGACGATGATTCACTATCCCACAATGCCACTCACAAATCACTTACCACTCACAAATCACATGCACGTGGGTTTCAAGCACCTGTTTTCACCTGTCGTTAAGGTGTCATAGGTCATGGAAATTCACCTTGATCTACTAACACCTGGTTATGCTCAGTTTCAAAATAGTCTGTTTTGTTCACATTTTTACACACTTTTACGTGTAAAAAGACATAAAAACCTTTGAAACGCTGTATTTGTGCCAAGGCCCAATTAGTACAAATTGAGTTGTTTGAATATTTATATATTTTGTATATTAACTGCATTTATTTAAAATCTGAGATCGAAAAAAAAGGTTTTTTTCATTTCCGTGAGTACTTTAGTTTGGTTAGGACAGACACATGGTATTTGGTCCGGTCCCTGACTCCATACATTACCAGTCCATATGTACAGTTTCACCCAAATCTTTATGATAGTGAAAAGTACTGAATAGATACATGTATATTCATTAAGAGTATCAGATTGATTGTGAGTGATGAAATTATTTTATATCCAATAGCGAAGATGAGTCGTATTGCATTGTAGGAATTCAGGGTTAGATTAGATACCCAGTGATAAAATGGATCGGGTGGTCAGTCTCAGTGACTTAGTTTATTGAGTATCATGGTACCACAACGGCGTGGGTCTTTGCTCACAATATTGATCACTGGATTGTGTGGTCCAGAATCAATTATTTACAGGCTGGCATCATATACCGTATTCAACGTAATAAGCGCACAGGGCGGTCTCAAAATTAGAAATAGGGGGCTCTTATTAGAATATTATTTTGGTGAAAACGACAGAGTTGAAAGATAAATTTCGTGGTTTATGCTGACAGCCTGAAATGTTTATATACGTGAGATTTCCAGAATTTAAATGCCCATAATTAAGGGTGCATATAGCACACGAGTACGTATCATACGCGAATAAATAAGTGTTTTGTTTACATTGATCAATCGAAAGGCGTGCTAATTGGTTTTGATCACTAGCCAATATATTGGCAAATATCGCCGTGGGCGCTTATTAGAGCGGGGCGCTTATTACGTCGAATACGGTAGCTGGAATACAGCTGAGTGACGCGATAAACAGCAAACAAACGAAACAAATATTATGAAGAGCATGTTACCAAACGATATCCACAATAATTTATAATGATTATAATTGTTATTTTTGACATTTTCCCCATCACCATTATCATGATCATCATTTTTAATATTTTTTTATTACATCTGCATTTTTCAGTGATGGGTCAAAAATCAACTTAAACAATGCCCTGCTGAAGAAAGGCTTACAGTACTCAGCCACACCAGGGTAATTCTACAAGTCATTAGCAATATATTATCAGCCAATTCTTTTCTAATATTTGGACACATTTGTTTCGGAGAGATCTGCAGTTGGGGTCAAAGAAACCACCTATATTCTACATAGCAACAATAAAGGTTGTCCCTGTCACCTACTTGACCCGTGAAGATCTGGATAGAATAGGTCTTCAGCAACCCATGCTTGCCATAAAAAGCGACTATGCTTGTCATAAAAGGCTACTAACGGGATCAGGTGGTCAGACTCGCTGACTTGGTTGATGCATGTCATCATATCCCAATTACGTGGATCGATGCACATGATGTCAATCACTGGATTGCCTGGTCCAGATTTGATTATTTACAGACAATTCTATGTTGTTACTTAGTTCAATCTGATGTTGTAGCCTACCTGAGATGCTGAAATGGCTGAAGGGCATACAGCAGAAGGTTCACAACCCACCGACACTTGGCATCGCTGACGACAACAAACAGCTGGACTTCCTCGTCACGAGTGGGAGCCAGGATGGACTGTGTAAGGTGAGCTATGCTACTCCATAGGACATATGTATTGCAGCTGGGGTGGTGTCTTGTCAGGGATTTATCTAGGATTCCAAACTAAGTGCACTTGGCAAACAAATTGGACAAAATCGTGAGACTTAGGGCCGAATATCAGCCTCTGAGCAGGTCCAGATAAATCCCTGCTTGTCCTGGCCTAGTTTCACAAAACAATCTTAGCATTAATTGTTTTACTTTTGGTGAAATTGGGTTTAAATTCGGGGCTAAGATTATTTCACTTATATAACATGTGTCTAGCGCTTGTACTATGTCCAGGCGTATGCCAGTTTTATTGTGCTAGCCCACTGAAATACCATGCCATTGTTTGACTTGGATACCCAATGAAGACACAGTTTTCTGTCTCCAAGCCAACCAGCCCTTGTTTTTTCGGGGGGGGGGGGGGGGAAATTGTCCCAGAAAATTCTTGAAAAAAATAATTATGCTTTTCAGACCATTAAAAAAAACAGAAATTAGCTACCTAAAAAATTACATTGTTGCGATGGATTATTCTTGAAAAGATATTCAGGCTCATAGTTTTAATATAATATACTGTATTCGACGTAATAAGTGCCCTGGGGGCTCTTATTAGAATATTATTTTGGTGGAAAAAACAGAGTTGAAAGATAAATTTAGTGGTTTATGCTGACGACCTGAACTGTTTATATACATTTATTATACATGAATAAATAAGTCTTGTTTACATTGATCAATCGGAAGGGGTGCTAATTAGGATTGTTCACTTGCCAATATATTAGAAAATATCGCTATGGGCGCTTATTACGTCGAATACGGTATATCTGGTTTTGCAGCAGTAGGGAAAAAATATTTAATCTCCACCCAGAATATCAAATGGTTGGTCCATAATGCCAAGTGCCAGACATTAATAAGTACCATCTTGTATTCTAACGTCTTTTGGTATAACGTGGCCCGGGGATTGAACCACCAACCTGCCGCTCTCCCTGGGCAGATGCACTTTCCACTAGACCGGGCGGTTTATTCCTCCTATGTAAGTGCTCAGTAGTATGTTTGTGGATGTATTCAACCTCATATTCTGGTGGTGTAGGTGTTCGAGGCATTTGTGAGTCCCGGGGACAACGTCCTGATGGAGAAACCTGCGTACCCTGGCACCCTGGCTATAGTAAGTACACCAACATCTACTTCAGATTAGTCCAGAGTCCATGTATAAGGATACATACCAGAATTTTTCTCCCGGTCAGTGTGGTGTTTTTCACTGCTTTTACCAATATTCCAGCAGTATAATGTCGGGGGACATCACTAATGGGTTTCACACATTGTACCCGTGTGGAGAATTAAACCTGCTGGGCCTTCAGCGTGACTAGCAAACACTTTAGCCACTAGGCTACCCCGCAGGCTGTGTGTGTGTTGCAGGTGGCCTGACAAGTGCAGTTCAGACATCACTCTACTGAACTCGTATGACTCTGCAAAAAGGGCATTCTAATATCGGAAACAACATCCAAAAAGAAGGCTGTTTCGTCTCATCTTCTTAGGCCAAACCCAAAGGAACAGAAACATAATACTTTTGTGTTTGACACCACACAGAAGACATGGGATCACTTCCCAACATATGTATATGTTCAGAGTTAAACATGGCCATAAGCCTGCTTGTCCGACTCTAGTATGAATATGGTCAGACTAACCTTTTTGTTCAGCATATATTGATTTTAGCTTCTTTTTATTTTAAGTTAATATCTTTGTACAGATACTAGCATCCTTATCATGTCTTCATTGAAAACCTGCTCCCTCACCCTTCTTATGTTCAGGTCCGACCACTGAGAGCAAACATCTTAGGTGTCGAGTCAGACAAAGATGGCATTCTTCCGGAGAGTCTTCGAAACTGTCTGTCTAAATGGTCTCCATCGGATGCCCAGGACCCAGCCAGTGACATCCCGAAAGTATTATACTGTATTCCCAACGGAGGCAACCCAACAGGTAGTGGGCTGACGCTGGACAGGAAGCGGGAGATCTACAGCATCGCCCAGGAATATGATCTCGTCATCATGGAGGATGATCCATACTTTTATCTTCAGTTTGCCAAGGTATGTTTGCTGTAAGAGATTGTACCTGTATAGATTAAAGACTGACTGAGTCAGTAGGGGTTTACGCCGCTGTTAGCAATATTCCAGCAATATCACGGCGGGGTACATCGGAAATGGGCCTCACACATTGTACCCATATCGAGAATCGAACCCGGGTCTTCCGTGACAAGCGAACGCTTTAACCAGAGCGCTACCCGACCGCCCACAAATTAAAGAACATCTATTTTGAATTATTGTTGTATTTTCTTTCCTCTGGGTTTTATTGGGCTTTCAGATAACTACAGTAAACTATGTTTATAACGAACACGCTTATAACAAACTGACCGATATAACAAACTTATTTTCAGTTCCGGCCATTTGCTGTATATATGCTGTATATATGCTTATAATGACCTACAGTTATTACGAACTAAAATTAATGGTCCCTTTGAGTTTGTTATAACCGTAGTTTACTGTAGGTTGATAAAAACGATGCAATGGAGTAATTAATATGAAATCATATACATTGTAACCTGGATGGGCCATAATGGTCCAAGCAGATTCCTTTGAGCACATTGCATTACCAGGGAGTAACATCAGCAGCTTGTTTGCCTCAGACTATGGATAACTGGACATATGTTTGACTGTCTCCGTGACCCACATAACTTTCACTGTACGGACAGACTGAAGGCCTGTATGGTAATGGGGCTACTCCCCTTCTATCACATGCTTGCAAGCTCCTTCCCGGTGTGTGACACCCTCGTAACTTTCACTGTACGGACAGACTGGAGGCCTGTATGGTAATGGGGCTACTCCCCTTCTATCACATGCTTGCAAGCTCCTTCCCGGTGTGTGACACCCTCATAACTTTCACTGTACTGACAGACTGAAGGCCTGTATGGTACTGGGGCTACTCCCCTTCTATCACATGCTTGCAAGCTCCTTCCCGGTGTGTGACACCCTCATAACTTTCACTGTACGGACAGACTGAAGGCCTGTATGGTAATGGGGCTACTCCCCTTCTATCACATGCTTGCAAGCTCCTTCCCGGTGTGTGACACCCTCGTAACTTTCACTGTACTGACAGACTGAAGGCCTGTATGGTAATGGGGCTACTCCCCTTCTATCACATGCTTGCAAGCTCCTTCCCGGTGTGTGACACCCTCGTAACTTTCACTGTACTGACAGACTGAAGGCCTGTATGGTAATGGGGCTACTCCCCTTCTATCACATGCTTGCAAGCTCCTTCCCGGTGTGTGACACCCTACATTCACAGAACCGTCGCTGCCATCAGGGTGCAAGTGGCCATTACAGGAATCTAAATATACCTATAATGTAATCACATTTATATTTTTGTGTTTGTCTTTTGGGAAGACCATCATAGTGAATTTTTAAAAGGTTCGCAACTGACTTAATATTTCCCCAGATGAATTTGCGTTTCGTTTAATCAGATTGGCTGAAGATTGCAGAATAAAGGAAAAGCACCCAACACCCCCCTTATAATCTTACTCCAGCAACATGATAGATGAAATGAGATAGAAATTCAATTTGGGGAGCTGTGACTGGTGGCAGTATAAGAGAGCTTGACATGCTGGCTGCCATGTTAACTATTACCAGTCTACACCATCACAACATAACACAGTGCTTACAACCAGCTTTAGATACCTTATCCTGAAAATCACATCTTCCTGAGACAAGGGAGTTAACTGACGATAAAAGTCCAGTTTCAACCTTTGCCGAACTAGGCTGGAAATATGGAGTTATATTTTGGCTGGACTAATGAGTCTATGCTTAGTCCAATCAAGATCATGTAACCAAATCAACATCTGGTTCGTAAACTGCCGTGCAGATTTCGGTCGATTGCAGGATTTGCAAAGCATGTGTACTTAGCGTCAATAGATATTTTCCAAATCTTTTCATGTTTTTAATCAAGGTGCTCACATGATTTGACGCACTTCGCAAAGTTTTATTACAATATTCACTTGGCACCACCATTTTGTTTGAAGGAAATGCAAATGATTTGAATGGTGGAATCTGATTGGTCAATAAGAGGGACATAGAAGGGACATAAAAGGGACATAACTTGTAATAGCCACTGGTTGCGCTGCAATCGGACCCAGAAATTCCAGTCAGAAACTGGTCAGCTAAATCCCTTGCCTCAGGAAGCTGGATAAACATGACAATGTTATGAATAAGATCATGAACATAGCAAGCATCTTGCTTATTTGATCTGAACTATCTGTCTTCCTTCCAGCCTTACATCCCAAGTTTCCTGTCCATGGATGTTGATGGTCGGGTAATGAGATTTGACTCCCTCTCCAAACTTCTGTCTTCAGGGTGAGTCATTATAACTTGATGTAATGAAATAAGCCATATAATTTTTAACTAAATTCTTTCTTTACCTGAAATTACTCCATAACTGAAATGATGCTGAAACAATAGTTAATACAAAGGAAATACACGTAATGAGAGTTTCAAGCTCATACTTTATACTTACAGTGTCCGAGTGGGCTTCTTGAGCGGGCCTAAGATGCTTGTCAACAGAATAGCTCTACACATGCAGGTGTCAGTGGTCCATGTTAGTGGCATGTCACAGGTGTGTCATTCAAATGTCTCCACTTATTACAATGAATATGTAGTACATTTTGGTTTAATGTCCGCTTACGAACTGGGCCCACTTGCACAAAACGATCTTAGCGCTAAGACCATTGTAAGCCTATGGTAAAGTATGGGAGTTAAGATCACCTTAGCACTAAGATCGCTTTGTGCAAGTGGGCCCTGGTCAGTTTCGTGGACAGATGAATATGCAATGGTAGACATCTGCACAGAAAAATATACAGAATTCCATCTGTGTCCAACAGTTGCACTTGGGGAGACAACTCTTGTTTGTTTACCATGTTATCTCCCTTGCACTATCAAACCCTATGTGTTTGAAATGTGTAAAATAGTGCTTATTACATGTATAAGGCTAAAAAAAAAATAGCCTTGGTTCTCAGGCACCGCCCACATCATCATAAAGTCTGCAGCATGTTTTGTTTTTATTTCAATTTAAAAAAAACAACACACGATATAGCCTGCAGTTCATACACAATTTCGCGTAAATTAATGCAAACAAAACTGAATGAAATCTTGGATAAAAGTAATATAAAGGATTACAAACATAGGTCCTGATACACGATGAACACTCTTATAATGTGAATGGTGTGATAACAGGACTAACTTGCGTACTTCAGTTCAGATTTGTTGACATACTTTTTCCGGTGTTGTGTGCTCACGATAACGTCTTTGCGTTGTGAAATAAATTCAAAGCTCATTGTATGCATGAATTATGCACCCACTGGTATCCCAACGGTAGTCCATTACTGTATTCCAGTCTTTTACTCATCAAGGAATACATTTATGTATGGCGGCCCTTTCCCAGGTTGTACACAACTGTTTATTTGGTTACAAAAAAAAACAAAAAAACACCACCAGCCCACACTATATTTTTAAAAGCCATTGCCTGAGAACCAATTGTTTTATATTTTTAAGGCTAAAGTATTTTTCTTCAGGCTCTCCTGGTACCGATTTTGGAAACTATGGGCTATGATGGTTTCTTGAAGCATGCCCAAAATGTGGCCGACTTTTATGAGAAGAAGAGGGACATGTGTCTCACTGCTGCTGAAAAACATCTCAAAGGTAGACAGGTTACACATTATTTCTTAAATAAAATATCTACATTATCTCCAGCCTCTTTAAAGATGATGATAAAATGTACAAGCTTTTTAATAATGCTTGACAACTGACATTGTATTGGGGAGCTAGATTCAATGTGCGCTCAGTTGTGTTTGCTGGAATTCCTGGTACAGATACAGAAGAAGCATTCCTCCCTCATCCATTGTGTTTTCACAAAAAAAAAAAAAGAGTCCTACTTCCCTCCTCCTTTTTAGTTTTTTTTAGTCTAATAACTACAAACACAATGAACATATTTATATTGTTAAATGTGATATCCCTGCCTGCAGGTCTAGCTGAGTGGTCTGTTCCGTCCGGTGGGATGTTTCTGTGGCTCAAGTTGCCAGGTATCCGTGACACGTTCAAGATGATCACAGAGAAGGCGAGGGAGAAGGAAGTTCTGTTTGTGCCTGGGAACGCCTTCATGCCGGACGACACGGCACCATGTCAGTATGTACGTGCGTCATACTCATTGGTGTCACCAGATGATATGGACAAGGTAGGACATGGCCGTTCAGTTAGCTTATTCAAATATCTGTGAGCTTGATCACCATTTTGCTCTAAGTATAGTATCTGTTGAACAACATTTTTTGTTGTTGCTTTTTGGTGGGGATCTAAATTATTTTTAGACTTAGGCTGTTACTTTAAAAAAGAAGCCCTTTGTATGTCTCTAAAAGTGAGATATATACTATTTTGGCATCACATTCAGGAGAAATGGCATAGAAATTTTGTTTTAACATACAGTCAAACACCATTTTGTCAAACTTATATGTGCCAAACTTATGGTTGTCTCAAAGTATAAACTTTGTCCCTGCATATTCCATCTTTATTCATCAGTTTTCGGGTTGTGTCAAACCTCGACTAACTTTAAAGTATCCACATCGGTCCCTTCAAGTTCGCGACACAACGGTGTTTGACTTTATTTAACCTTTAATAATTTATAGATTAACTCAAACTAGTCAAGGGAGGATTTGTGTCATGTGACGTGATGTAAGACTCTCAGGGTTTGACACCATTTGTGAAAAGTATTAATGCTTAAGACATGAATTAAATGACTGTTAGTTTTTCATTATATATGTCTGAAGTGATGTGTATTGCTTGAATTCATGTATAATACTTCCTCCGATTTTAATTCCAGGCTTTCGAGAGACTGGCAGCCTTGATTCGGGAAGAGCAGTCCTAACTCACCGTGATCTCACAGAATCGTGGAAAAGTCAAGTATTATTATTCAGAGCTTGTCATTTGGTTCTTGACATATACTTGTTTACATGGATACAAGGTAACTGGTATCAATCACCTACATCGGGAACATGAAAGAAAATTGCCTATTTTTCCACAACAAACTTGATCAGTATGGTGTTGAAAATTGTGAACGTTCATTTTAATCATAAAATGGATTTTGTTGTTGAATTTTTTGAAGATATATGGTACTTAGTTCTTTAATTTGGTGTTTGATTTCTGTAAAACTTTTGTAACATGAAGCAATTATCAAGCAAAATAGTGAGTGAGTGAGTGAGTATGGTTTTACGCCGCTTTTAGCAATATTCCAGCAATATCACGGCGGGGGACACCAGAAATGGGCTTCACACATTGTACCCATGTCGGGAATCGAACCCGGGTCTTCAGCGTGACGAGTGAACACTTTAACCACTAGGCTACCCGACCGCCCCTCAAAATGGCAGTTAATAGTGCTCTCTACTTTATTCGTCCTCTTCAGAGTTAATATTTTACCAGACTGTTTTATGGACTGTCAAAAATATATCTCTTAATTCACTTTCCTTTTTCAAAATATTGTTTTCAGTACCAGTGTCAAAACCATTATATAATTGTGATTTAGTTTGGATTACAATTTACACAATGCAAACAAAACAGAACAGGGTACACAACTGTCCAATCTATAAGATTGTTAGAAAGATGATTTTCTACCTCTTTTTATATGCTGCGATCTTTAGACGTACATATTTTTTATTAGAAACATCATTGAGTGTAAATGTGATAATTAATTTAGTACACCTATACACATAATACAGGTAGACTTTGAAAGTTGAGTCATTCTAAACATTGACATGAGTGAAAGGGACTTCAACTTGTATCCAGTCATACCAAAATCAGTACTGCCCCATTTGCATGTCAAACTGTTGTGCCTTCACAAATTCATCAGATCCCCATTCTAGTCACAGCAGATTTTTGTAATGGCCATGCCACACTGACAGCAGCGATGTTAGCAAGAGTGTTACAAAGGTGTCACTTGCTGGAAAAGAGCTTACACATATATTGGGAAAAGGGGACCACTCTGCTACATGTATTGGGAAAGGGGGAACGACTCTGCTACATGGATTGGGCAAGGGGAACAACTCTGCTACATGGATTGGGCAAGGGGGAACGACTCTGCTACATGAATTGGGCAAGGGGGAACGACTCTGCTACATGGATTGGGCAAGGGGGAACGCCTCTGCTGCATGGATTGGGCGAGGGGGAACGACTCTGCTACATGGATTAGGCAAGGGGGAACGACTCTGCCACATGGATTGAGAAAGGGGGCTTCTCTCCTACATATATTGGGAGGGAAAGGGGCATGTATACTGCTGCCCAGGAGGTCTAGCAGGGATAAAGGGCATTGGTCAGTAAGAAGCTGCTCCAAAACATTGGAGGTGAATTTGTTTGTTTTGGTTTTCAAGGTTTACAAAGTTCCTGAAAACGTCAGTGAACTTACATTTTTGTGATCACACACTGTAGTGTGTAGCTATTTTTTTCATATACATACTGTTTACTCAGATTGTGATAAGCTGTGCTTTGTATACTTCATTTGTTAATGTGACTCAAATATTCAGATCTGCAATAAATGAGTACAATTTTCATGACATGTTTTTATTCCTGATTTGAAGCTAAATAAAGGATGAGTGAGTGAGTGAGTTTGGTTTTACGCAGCTTTTAGCAATATTCCAGCAATATCGCGGCGGGGGACACCAGAAATGGGCTTCACACATTGTACCCATGTCAGCAATTGAACCTGGGTCCTTGGCGTGGCGTGCGAACACTTTAACCACTAGGCTACCCCACCGCCCAGAATTAAGGGTGAAACACAACAGGATGAGTTATTGAGTGGGAGTGGTTGATATTTTTGTTTTAAGTCTTCCACTGCCTTAGCAACATCGAAGCTGTGCTGTGACTGTATCAAACAGAACTTACTTCACAGAAAATGTCTGGCCATAAATGCATCAGATTTGTTACAATTACTGGTTTAAGCTCTAATTTTAATTTTTGCAGAGAAATAAAAGAACACTTTAGTACCTGATGAACAGATGTTCTCGATAATGGTATGACATACACCATTTACACTTAATTGTCAAAAGTATTACCACAACAGCATTCCTGACTTTCACCTATCTCGTTTGATAGTTCTAAAAAGATGATATCTGCTTCAATCAAAACTTCATTGTAAATATGCAGCTTAAAAATTTACCCTTGACGTTCAAAAATTGTATGAGTGCTTCAAATAATATTAAACAGATTTCCATAATGAAAAGAATACATTACCGAAGCTCTACTGAGTATATGTTATATTTTTATTAATGCAAGTTAGATGTATAGATACAGAGAGTTTATACACAAGTGACGACAGATCTATGTGCACACAGCAGGTCATGATGACTTCTTGGAGTCTTCTTCATCCTCCAACGTGGGCGGATGCTCCAGCACGGAGTCGATCAACCCAAACTCCTTCGCTTCATAGGGGTCCATGAACCGGTCCCTCTCCATACTGTCCTCTGAAAACACAGTAGCTTACATTGAGGTGAGGGTAAATCAGGTGTTGGGGTGAGTGAGTGAGTGAGTTTAACATAAACCCGTCCTTCTCCATATCGTCTTCTGAAAACTCAGTAGCTTCCATTGAGTCAAGGCGAGGTAAACGCCAACAAATTGGTCGCGTTCAGTATTATTTCACTTATATAGCGGTGTTCAAGCACGTGTGTGTGTGTGTGGCTGCTTGTACTAGTCCTTACAAATGCCGGTTTTACATTGCTAGGACACTGACATATCATGCCACAGTTTAACATGGATACCCCACTCAGACACAGTATACTGACTCCGAGCCGACCAGTCCTTGTTTTAGCCCCTTAATGCTGAACGCCAAGCAGGGAAACAACAAGTACCACGTTTTATTATCTTTTGATATGACACAGGCAGGGGACACTTTCCAGGGAAACGCACTAACCACTAGATTTCAGATTATTCTAAGTAAAACAGGTTGTAAAAGCTTACAACTTTGGCAAAATCAATTAGCAAGGAATGATTTGAATTCATGATCAGCAGATACTCATACAACAGCACCTTAGAAACAGGGCCACCCTTGTTTGGTTGTTGTTTAATGCTGCACGGTCTGTGAATAATCAAGTCTGGACCAGACAACCCAGTGAGTGACATCATGAGCATCGATCCACACAATAGGGATACGATGACATGCATCAACCAAGTCACCGAGTCTGACCACCCGATCCTGTTAGTAAGAGACGTGCCCCCTCCCCCCCCCAAAAAATGAATCCTTATATGTACCTGGAGGAGGTCAGGTGAATTGGTGTTTAACATCGCGTCCAGGACAATTGCACTTATTACTTATTTTGCGACCTGCATGCATGTGTGTGTGTGTGGCTGTTTGAACTCGTCCAGACTGATGCCGATTTATAGTGCTAGCTCAATGAGATGACACAGAATAGTACCATCTTTAAACGTCTTTTGGTATACTCGGCCAGAGATCGAACCCCAGACATTCCGCTCTCTGGTGGACAATCTACCGCTAGACCACGGAGGCGGTCCATGTACCTGGTCGAACTGAAACCAACCCCTTGACATCACACATACTTTGGATATGTAATGTAACACTAACTAGTAATGTAAAACATGCATGACCAGATGTTTCTATTTCTTCATAAATACTGACTGCAAAAATATGGGGGAGGGTATAAAGACTGACATGACATCGCCAATGTGCCCAATGTGATCAGACCTGCAGTATATATTCACACACCACGTCAAGCTCTGCCTTTATTTAAGAGTTCTCACGCAAGTATTGACATGTATGTGCCTCTGTTTACCCAGCAGTGAATGGGTACCAGTAGGACGAGATGGCAGTGTCGTTGTTAACCCTACACAACTCAACAGGCAGCTTGGGTTGTATACTCCCCAGGGAGCTGAGAATGATTGTTGAGTGCACACCGATCCAGTGACCAAGACAATAATCGCTCTTTAAGCATGCCCCTGTGTGGTGAAGAAATCTGTGCAATATTAATGGCCTATTACCGTATTCAACGTAATAAGCGCCCCACTCTAATAAGCGCCCACGGCGACATTTGCTAATATTTTGGCTGGTGAACAATCCCAATTAGCATCCCTTCCGATTGATCAAGACTTATTCATTCGCGTATAATACGCACTCGTGTGTTATATGCACCCTTAGTTATGGGCTAATAAATTCTGGATTATATATATAATATCTGTCATACATAAATACTTCAGTCTGTAAAAACCACGAAATTTATCTTTCAACTCTAATATATTGGCTAGTGAACAAACCCAATTAGCACCCCTTCCGACTGATCAATGTTCACAAGACTTATTTATTCGCGTACAATACGCACTCGTGTGTTATATACACCCTTAATTATCATGGGCAATTAAATTCTAGAAAAATATATCTGTTGTAAATAAACATTTCAGGCTGTCAGCATAAACCATGAAATTTATCTTTCAACTCTGTTTTTTTCCACCAAAATAATATTCTAATAAGAGCCCCCTATTTCTAATTTTGAGAGAGCCCTGGGCGCTTATTATGTTGAATACGGTATTATTATTATTTGTAAGTATGTCACACTAACTCCAGACAAAAGCCTCACAAAAGTCTGACAAACTCAAGACTACAGTCAGGTAAACTGGATACAAACATCTGACAAACACTAGACAAAAGTTGCTGGAAACATGACTAACAGGTACAAGCTTACAAGAGAAGAGGTCAGTGTTGTTGTGGAAAGTGTCATGTTCTCACCAATGCACAACATCATACCAGTGTTCGAAATACCTGCCTGCCTGACCGTCCGAGACGGGTTGATTTCAACTCGGGCTGCCAGATTTTCAAATCCCCCTGCCCGACGGTCGGGTTATATTTCATATGTAAAAATATTCTAAATATTTCCCGATGATAAGCATTATTTACATGATGTATTCTAGGATATTAAATACAAATCTGACCTAAAAAGTGTTTGCTATTTCTTTTCTTGCATTACTTCATGTTCAATGAATTCGATTTAAAGTTTTAATTAAATTATCCTGAGAAACATATGATTATAGTGGGCAGGCAGGTTTTGGTCAGGGCTGGCAAGTATTTCAGCTAGCCAGTCCTGTGGTCTGGCTGAAATTTTGGGAGTTTCATACCCTGATCATACTGACCTATAACCTGGAGAGGCTGCTTCGTGTGTTTAACATAGAGTCTGTTGATCTGCTTCTTCAGTTTAAGAATTTCTTCTGCTTGGATCTGGATGTCTGTGGCCTGACCCTGGAATGGTTAAGTGAGCGAGTGAGTGAGTGAGTGTGGTTTAATGCCTTTACTTAGATCAATATTTCAGTTTTATTAGTGTGTCAGCTTCCAGTTGGGAGAAAATGCTGGAGACATTATCTTTGTGGAATAAATGTTGAGTTAGCAGACTCATGATTTGAATCAAAGGCCTTGGCCTACTTCTTCTTCAAAAAGACTCACTGTGTAAATAATTGAATCTGGCCTAGACAATCCAGTGCTTGATTTGGTGAGCAACGATTCACGCCATCAACCAAAACACTGAGTCTGACATCTGATTCTTTTAATCGCCTCTCTTGTCACTGCATGCGTAAAATTGTACTTACCGGTAACGTAAGCAATTTAGTGGGTGAGAGTGAATATGATTTTATGCTGCTTTTAGCACTATTCAAGCAATATCTCGGCTAGGACACCAGAAATGGGCTTCGCACATTGTACCCATGTCGGGAATCGAACCCGGGTCTTCAGTGTGGCAAGCTTTCTCTTTTACCACTAGGCTACCCGACCGCCCCTAAGCAATTTTACTTACCAGGTTTGGAAAGTCAGACAGGGCATTTACACATACCACTGCAACTACATCACATCTCAAGAGTTCACTCACCAACCAATGCTTTTACAGAGTTCAGTCAATGCTGAGGGTGACGTACCGATGCCTGTCCTGATGGCTGGTGAACCATGATTCTGGAGTTGGGTAGCGAGTGCCTCATCCCTGATTCTCCTGCACTCATCAGCAGTGACGCCATGCTGCATGCCTGACCCACACACCAGGTGGCGATAGGGGGCTGGATGTACTGCATGGTGTCGTAGATACCCAGCCCTGCTGTCACGGAGCCCCCTGTGGAACACACACAGCACTGTGTTTGTTTGTTGTTGTGATAAGACAGGGATGAATGTGGGTCATGCAGTTTGTTTGAATGTTGTTTTACGCCGCACTCAGCAATATTCCAGCTATATGACGGCGGTCTGTAAATAATCGAGTCTGGACCAGACAATCCAGTGATTAATATCATGAGCATCGATCCACGCAATTGGGATCGATGACATGCATCAACCAAGCCTTAATATAATATACCGTATTCAATGTAATAAGCGCCCAGGGCGCTCACAAAATTAGAAATAGGGGCTCTTATTAGAATATTATTTTGGTGAAAAAAAACACAGTTGAAAGTTAAATTTTGTGGTTTATGCTAACAGCCTGAAATGTTTATGTACGACAGATATATTTTTCTAAAATTTAATTGCCCATAATTAAGGGTGCATATAACACAAGAGTGCGTATTGTACATGAATAAATAAGTCTTGTGAACATTGATCAATCGGAAGGGGTGCTTATTGGGATTGTTCACTAGCCAATATATTAGCAAATACCGCCGTGGGCACTTATTAGAGCGGGGCACTTATTACGACAAATACGGCAATCAGGTTTGGACCTGACAAACCAGTGACTGTAAACATGATCATCGATTCACGACATTGGGGCTCAGTGTTTGTTCTGTTTGTTGATTAAAGCTGCTCTTGTCAGTATTCCAGCAACATGATGGCGACCTGTAAATAATCAAGTCTGGATTTGACAATCCAGTGATTGACACTGTGAGCAACGATCCACGCTTTCAGGGCATGGTGACCGAATCAACCAACTCAATGATCCTGTACACCCAATCCATTAAGTCCCTGCTCATAACCAGCATAGGATGCTGGGGACCTATTCTAAGCCAGAATCCCAACAGGGGCAAGCAGAAGGACATCAAGGAAGATCAAGACACATAGCCTCACCACATGATTCACCATAGTCGCCCCTTACACCCAGCAACAGTGTGTCGGGGATATTTTCAAAAAGGCTGCTGACCTGGGCTGTTGATGTACATGTGAACCGCCTTCTTGTTGCTTTCTGACTGTAGGAACAGCAGCTGGGCCACCACCAAACTGGACAAGTCATCAGTTATCTGTGCAGGGAAACATGGAGTGGTTATCTATGATGCACTGAACACATGATAGTTACCATATATAGCTCTGGATCCCGTTTCACAAAGCAATCTAGTGCCATGTTCATCATAACTCCCATTCTGTAACACCGACTTATGACAGTCATAGCGCTAACATCGCTTTGTGGAACGTGACTCTGTTCCAGGGTTCGCCCTAGACTCCAATATCTGAGGGTCACCTTGACTCAGCCTATGCATTTTTGGGAGTCAAAACTATTTTTTGAGAGTCAAATGTTTTATTGTATGATAAATGAAATTTAGAGTGTTCACTGTTAATTTTGCTCTTAAAGTTAAGTGTCTTTTAAATATTACATGTCTTTAGTTTATGTTAACAAGTGCTAATCAGTGTACTGTACTACAGAGAAATAAAGGATATACGAACGAAAAACAAAGTTTGTTGGTTTTATTTTTTCACTATCTTTAATTATTTCACAGATCATAAAACAATTTACAGTAACACTAATACAGGACGAAAAAATAACATCAGTCTCAACTGAGAGACAATTCTGAATCATGGATGGATATTTAAATACATTTCATCATGTTCATGCTAGATTATGATTTAATATCACCAACTCATTCAGTGAACAGTGAAGTTGAACTGAACTTGTGAAGCATTATCTCAGAAACACATTTGTGTTAAATAGTGTTCAGTAGTACTTAACTACTACATGTAGTACTAGCATCTTAGTCTACTTTCTCCTTTCTCTAGTTTGAAATAGTTCAACAGCTTTTCAAAAGTCAAATTGTGTCACTCGTGGCGGGCCTTGTAATCTTATGAACATAATTCTATTGACAGCTGTTTGGAATAATCTCTAGGCCTTGTTCCACAGAGTGATCGTAGCACTATGAATTTCATTAAGTTCATCTTCATGATCTTAGCACTAAGATCACTTCACCATTGTTCACATTTTGGAATGTGACCAAGATATCTAAAATTCTCTGACTTGAAGTTGAATACAAATTGTTCTGTTTTCCATGTTTTTCATAGCAGGTTAGATGGCTATTATTTGGAACAAAGGTTTTGTTTGTTTGTTTGTTGTTTAACGCTGCACTCAGCAAATATTCCAGCTCAATGGCGGCAGTCTGTAAATAATCAAGTCTGGACCCAACAATCCAGTGATTGACATCATGAGCCTCGTTGTACGCAATTGGGATACCAAGTCAACCAAGTCAGCGAGTCTGACCACCCGATCGCCTCTTACGACAAGCATGGGTTGCTGAAGACCTACTCTACCCCGGATCTTCAAGGGTCTGGAAAAAAGGTTAAAAGGAAAAAACAATGTTTACTTACTGGACCCATGACGCAGATGATTCTTTCCTTGAGGAGTCTGGAGTAGATGTCGTATGCCCTCTCGCCCCGCCCTGTTTGTTCTATAACAATCGGCACCATGGGAATGTGTCTCACACATGATGTCTGGAGGCCCCGAACAGCTGCTGGACTGCTGCATACTCGCAACAGTGCCTGAATTCATTAAAATCAAAACAGCGTTCGAAAGTGAGAATAACAAGGGTCATAAAGAGATGACACATACCCCCAGTCTGGTGCAATTCGAAAATTTGTTCTGTGAAGAAAAAAATAATACTGTTCAGTATTTTTCAAAAAGCACCAAAGTGAGAGAGTCATGTCGGAGTCACCAGAAATGGGGTTCACACATTGTATCCATGTGGGGAATCGAACCCACTTCTACGCCGTGACGAGCGAACGCTTTAACTACTAGGCTTCCAATTAACCATTAAAGAAATCGCATAGGCCAATATCATCACATAGTCGCGACTGAAAATATATGTATCACAAATTTCGCATTACGTAACACCTTCAGGTGTGCCCGTGTTCTTCTCTAATTGCTGAATCGATCTTCTGCTAGTAAGGCAGTATTACTGACACTGAGTGTTCACGACCAGCTGAGACTGACCTACCACTTGTAATTCACCTTCATGCACTTTCTTAAGTTTTAACGGGAATGAACAACTAGTAAATGAATAAATGACATGGAATTTTTTATGATGCAAGACTGCTTACCTTCACACAATTCATTTCGATAAGTTTGCTCTAAGGGTCGACACTTCTGACAGAAATAAAGTCGCAAGTAACACGTGCATTCTACTTCCGCAATAAACACGCACTTGTTCTACTTCCGGTAAAATGGCGGAATGACAACGACCGCAGCCTTTACGCTGAATTATTTTAGAGGATTTATGATCAATCCTGAATTGTTGGGGTATTTAAAAAAATGGCAACTAGTTTAAGAAGAAACACATTTACTCTTAAAGGGTATGAACCATTGATTTGAACTTTGTTCACTCGTATATCAAAGGATGCACTTGACATTGATTTGTTTACAGCTGTCAAATGCTGTCTGCTCCAGTTGCTAGGCAAGCGAACAAGTCCTCATGTCTGCTCTACCGTATTCCAATGCATTTTCATTATTGACATTTGATAAATAGGAATGTGCTTATGCTTATTTGTATGTTCAACCTTAATTGACTCTAATTTGGGAACTTTCCTGTCTAATGCTATTGTTATAACAATCAAATAACCAGCTTTTTACTTTCGTTTGTTTTGCTTCTTTCACAAGAGAAATTCTTATAATAGATAACGAATAAAATGTCCTCATTCAGTTTCAGGAAAATGTTCCAAAGCATTGTGTGCTGTTAAGTAAAAATTTAATAAACAAAATAATAACTTTAATCAGAGACCATATAATAGATCTATAAGATCTATATGGTCCCTGCTTTAATACATTTCCGACAATTTATTCCATTAATCCCATGTAATCACTGTGGCAGTGAGGCTTAAGTTGAATTATGCATTTTGTTTGGATATGTCATTACATGAAAACTATTTGTTATATTGGGTTAAAACTGTTGATATATATCACAAATCAGTGATCGATGACATAGTCATGGCATTCCAATCTATCAATGACAGCTTACAGTTACACATTTCACACCTTAATATACTGGGACATGATGAATGTTCACCACACTTAAAGGAAAGCACAAGTTTAAAAAACCTATTCTTTATTTGCTTAGATCTGATCTTCCACCATCTCTTCAACCAACATCAGGGATGGATCGTCAGAATATCATGAGACTGAAGGTGAACAGAATTGCAATTGTACAGGAACTGAAGGTTGAGCACATCCTGGATCAGCTGTGTGATGCCAGGATTCTCAACCTGAAAGACAGGAAGAAGATAGAGAAAGGAACAACCCCAAGTGACAGAGCACGAATCCTCATTGACATCCTTCCAACAAAACCTAAAGATTCTGACTGGTACAAGTGTTTCAGAGAATCTTTGCAGAATCCAGATGCAAATGTTGAATTTCGAAAAAGGTACAGAGATCTGGTTGAGTTTCTTGACAACACAGTCATCCATCGGCCTGCCTCCCAGGCGAGTCGTTTCAGTGATATTGATAAAAAGGTAGACAGTCTTCAGTACCCAAAATACGAACCACTGCCAGCTATCACCGAAAAACTAGGAACACAGAATATTTTATACCTTGAAGGAACAAATACAAGCAGCGTCCTGACCGAGAGTGCATGCACCGAGACTGAGAAGGGCACTCAAGACAGCAATTTAAGTAAACCTGAAGCAGAAGATAAGACGTCTGTGTGGAGTGAGGACAGTCCGGAGTCTATGACACTTATCAAAGGTTTCTTCCATCAATGGGTTCCAATTCCGGATAACTTCCATTCCTTGATTGAAATTCCAAGAGAACAGGTAAAAGAACTGACTGAGTCGAGTGAGCCAGAGGATCAGGAGCTGCTTGAGACAGAAAAAAGAGCCTGTCAGAAGATGAGGAAGCTCGAAGTTGTTGCTGCACTGAACAGAAGAAAACAGCTGCCATTAGGATTTGAAATTGGCATGTGTGATGCTTTTCAGGAATTGCTGGCTGAGCCAGAATTGTATCCCTTTTATCTTAAATATTTCAGACATATCAATATGAGTGGTGTGAATATAATTCGAGATATTGCAAATTCGTACCACTCAGTGCTTGAAGCGTTGGAGGTAGCAAAAAGCACAGAAGCCACTAAACAGGTTATAAGTACAGGATTGAAGATAGTCGACCTGTTCATTGACTTCAACTGTCTTGCTGAGGCTGAGGAGGTGATGAGTGGTCTGATTCGCTTCCTCAACACAAACCCCTGTATCGAAACATGGATGGCAAAGTACAAGGGCTACGTTAAGTTGATGCATCTGCGGAACAAAAACTATGATTTTAATGGCAGCCAGCAGGCGTACTTCTGGTCAACTGAGGTCACATGGGCCATCAAGATGATGTCATTCGGACAGGATTTTATTGATGAGTCGGGGACATTTGTTGGACTTAGTTTCATGCTGTTGGAAACTGGTTCTTTGACACCTGCAAGTGGGTGGGCAAACAAGGCATTGAAGGTAAATCACTGGAGATTTCGGAGTTGCTTTTCTATTATTTGGAAACTCTGGTATTGCGTCAGCATCAGCCCTAGAACACTCAAAGTCAGTTGGTCAAGCGGGTATTCGTCTAAGACTGTAAATAGATATGACACAAATATCACACATGAAATATCGGGGAGGAAAATTCAATCATTTGCAAAATTTCCACAGTGTGATTTGTGACTTGGTACCTTAATTCAAGGGGACGAAAGGACTAATTATTTATTACAGGGGGTTCAGAGCTTTTTGATGCACTAATATTCTGAATATAATTACCCTCCTGAATGCTTGTCATATTTGTTTATGACCCTCCCCCTGTTCTTGTAGACTTTTTGTACATGTCCTCCCCAAATAGGTGTTGTTGTTTTTTATGACCCTCACAACGAATCTGTCATATTTTTTAGTGACCCTAATTCCATGATTCCTTCTGACCTGCCGCCCCTATAATAAATGACTGGTCCCTAGGCTCTGTCAGTCGTACAAAAAGGATTCAAGTCTCTTAACACTGTTTTTATATTTGTTTTTGTTGATCAATCTATCAGTTAAGGATTATCCTTAATTACACTGAGATAGTTTCTCAATTTCACATTTCCCAAACAAGGAGCTCGTTTCCAAGAAATAACATAACAGTGCAGATTATCATTTTAAAAATACCTGTTGTGTACAATTCACACATACAACCCCTACCCAGGTGAGCTAAATAATTGTTATGGCCTAAAAAGTAATTGCCTTCAAAACAGTCCTGACCAAGTGAAATTGGAACTGAAACATTCCCATTTGTCTGTTGTTGTACTGAAGTGTTGTACTGACGGTGTTCACATTGTTCCCCCAGGAAGTGGAGCCTGACGACACGTCCCAGGTGATAGAGTGTCTCTGTAATGCTGTGATGGTATGCTGTGCCTCGTGGCAGGTCAACAAGGCGGAGATGCTGGCAGTGCAGGCTGTGCAGATGGCGAGGTAGTGCATGCTTCTGTGCAGTATGCCCTGGTGCATCAAACTTCACACATTGCTTTACTTTACAGCCACTGCAACAAACAGCAGTTTTTAAAAATACCGTATTCGACGTAATAAGCGCCAAGGGGGCTCTCAAAATTAGAAATAGGGGGCTCTTATTAGAATATTACTTTGGTGGAAAAAACAGTTGAAAGATAAATTTCGTGGTTTATGCTGACAGTTTGAACTGTTTATATACGACAGATACAGAATTTAATTGCCCATAATTAAGGTTGCATATAACACACAAGTGCGTATTATACACGAATAAATAAGTCATGTGTACATTGATACATCGGAAGGGGTGCTAATTGGGATTGTTCACTTGCCAATATATTAGCAAATATCGCTGTGGGCGCTTATTAGAGCGGGGCGCTTATTACGTCGAATACGGTAATATTGAACTTAAAGTTTTAAAAAATTGTGTGCTGTCTTTTTAATTGTTAAAAACAAAGTAAACCTGCCTTGTCCATATAGCATGGTATATGCCAGACCTTCAGAACTGGTTGTATTTTGTCCGGTGTTTAACACTAAAATTGAATAAGAAATTAGGTCCCCTTTTTATTTATTTATTTGTTTCGTTATTTTCATAAAATACAACCAGTTCTAAAGGGTAAACATATAAGGTAAGTTAATGCAAGCATGAAATAAATGCAAACAATGCGAGTGTCCCTTGATCACATTATAAAGTGATGCCATTTTAACTATTAGAGTATATTGTCATGTCAGGTTCACTGCACATGGGAGGAAACATGGACATACTAGTACTTGGTGCTGGGGGTGTTGTTTATGTTATATTGTACTGCTAAGTATCAAACAGTTCTAGAAAGGGGGATATTCTGTCGGGCTTAACACCACCTTGTGCGGCTTTCTTCCGTTTGTCAGTACAATGTTAAATGACTTTCCATTGTCCATGACACGGTATGATTGTTGTGAATAATCAGGTAAGAAGACTATCTGTTATATACAAGCTTCATGTATGTATGTCATGATTTGGAGGCAGATTGTTCAGAGAGTTTGTGGTCTTGTCATCAGACTCCTATTGCTTGAAATAGAGACATCCCATATTCATGCAGGGATTGACCTTGGACAAGTAATGGGGTCCCATCTTCCTGGGACAAGGGTGTGAACTGACTATAAAAGTCCAGTTTCCACCCTTGCTGAACCATGCTGGAATTCGGGAATTACAGTTTGGTTGGACTAATGAGTCTATGCATAGTACGATCAAAATCGTGTAACGAACCACCGTTAGACATGTTCATTAACAACATAAATTTCAATGTGCACATTTTGGTCAACTGCATGATTTGTAAAGCATGTGTACTGTCAACTGGGTGTCGACAGATATTTTGCAAATCTTTTCATGTTTTTAATTAAGGTGTTCAAGTGATTTTATGTGCTTCGCAGGGTAAGACCCATTTTATTACAACATAACAAGATAGACACAATTTTATGGATAACAACTTCTTTAATACTGTGAAAAGCGACGTTTCGGTATAGATCCTTATACCGTTGTCAGTCTAGCTTGACAACGGTATAGGGATCTATACCGAAACATCGCTTTTCACAGTATTTCAGAAGTTGTTATCCATAAAATTGTGTCTATCTTGTCATCCGTCAACTTCTAAGTAATGCCTATCAAACAAATTTATTACAATATAGATCTTGATTATCAATTAGATCGTCTTGACTTGGTGTCGCCATTTTTTATAAAGCAAATACAAGTGATATGAGAGATGGAATCTGATTGGTCAATAGGAGGGACGTAGAAGGGATATAACTCATAATAGCCACTGATGGCGCTCTGATCAAGTCTTGAAATTCCAGCCTAGGTCAGCAAGGTGAATGTATAATGTCATGAATAATGTTTATGTTTAGAAGTCTTCTGTTATAGCTTATGTTCCCTGTATAGACTGACATGTATTGTTGCTGTTGCAGATCAGTGTATGGCAAGTACCATCTCCTCCACCTGAAGGCGTTGCTCCACTACTGTCATCTGTCTAGTGAGTTCCTGCATGGCGAGGAGGGACTGCAGGCAGCTAAGGTACATATCTCCACCTTATAACAGAACAGACAGCCTCCGTGGCCTAGTGGATACAGGAGCTGCCCAGAGAGTGGAATGTCGGTGGTTGGATCCCCCGTCGTGTCATACCAAAAGACGTGAAAAGAAAAACAATGCTTGTTGTTACCCTCCTGGCTGTTGGCATTAAGGGGATAAAACAAAGACTGGCTGGCTCGGAAACAGTATATATACTGTGTCTGAGTAGGATGTCCATGTTAAACTGGACCCGTGAAGATTCCGGGGTAGAATAGGTCTTCAGCAACCCATGCTTGCCATAAAAGGTGACTATGCTTGTTGTAAAAGGCGACTAACGGGATCGGTTGGTCAGGCTCGCTGACTTGGTTGATGCATGTCATTGATCCCAATTGCGTGGATCGATGCTCATGACATTAATCACTGGATTGTCTGGTCCAGACTCGATTATTTACAGACCGCCGTCATATAGCTGTAATATTGCTGAGTGCGGCGTTAAACAACAAACCAACCAACCAAACCAACCATGTTAAACTGAGGCATGACATCTCAGTTGGCTAGCACCTTAAAACCAGCGTTAGCCGGACCAGTACAAGCAGACACTGGTGCATGTAAGATGCTACATTAGTGCAATAATCTCAAACACTATGTTAAACCCCATTTCACCTCCCATCTAACAGAACAATTGTAGATGCATGGAAACATTGTATTCTCATTGTTCTTCCAAGAATTTCATCATCTAGAATATATATGATGAGCTTGATTTGGTGTTGTCCTGATGTTTATATTTGATGTTCCAAACTTGTCAGACATAAGGTGAGGTGAAATTGGGTTTAACGTCAAGATTATTGCACTTATATAGCGACGTGCATGCACGTGTGTGTGTGTCCCGATTTATAGTGCTAGCTCACTGAGATACCATGCCGCAATTTAACATGAATACCCCACTCAGACAAAGTATACTGACTCCAAGCCGACCAGTCCTTGTTTTAGCCCCTTAGTGCCGAGCGCCAGACAGGGTAACAACAAGTACCATCTTTTAAAGTCTTTTGGTATGACGCGGCCGGGGATCGAACCCAGAACCTTCCGCTCTCCGGGCGGACGCTCTACCACTAGACCACGGAGGCGGTCTGTCAGACATAAGAATCTGTTCACTTTGTTTTGTGTTCTTTAGTAGTAATTTCTAAACAAATTAGGAGACATTGTGTTTTGTATTTTGCAATCAGCAGTTGGTGTTCAGAAGCTGATGTGTTTTCTTATGCTTTATTATGGCCCTGTACTCTGAGGCACTGCTAATTTACTGTTCAGAGTTGCTTCCCTTTGTCATGTAGGGATCTTTTGGTTTGGGGTTTGATTCCCAGATCTTTGGTTGTCAATACTATACCCAATCTCACAGGTTTCTCCAAAGTGGCAAATGTCTGCAACCTGTATTACTCAATTGTATCTGCTGAGGTGAGGTGAAATGGGGTTTAACATCGTGTCAATTTCAAGTGCTGATAAACCAAAAAACATAATCTTGTCAAGCTGGAATTGAACCCATGATCACAGGTTTCTGGCACGCCTAAGGGATGCAACTCTAAACAACAAATTGTGACGCCCTTCACATCTGGGCCAACCGTGCCCCATTATGCTGAGATGTTACTCATATGCTGTTAGAAACAGCAAACAATCATTCACTCACTTGATATACTCCTAGGAATGTTTGAGCATCGCTATGAGGATCTACAGCTGTGAGACAATCCAGATCGCGCTGGCACACCGTGCTGTGAGTCGGGCTCTCATGGCCACCCAGAGGTTTGATACTGATGACTTCTACTTCCACTCCATGGAGGCAATCCGCATCGCTCGGAGTCAGCTGCCACAGGGACATCCCATGCTTCAAATGTTCCTCATTACATTTGGTGAGTATAGGACAGAATAGACCTGTTCCTCATTACATTTGGTGAGTATAGGACAGAATAGACCTGTTCCTCATTACATTTGGTGAGTATAGGACTGAATAGACCTGTTCCTCATTACATTTGGTGAGTATAGGACAGAATAGACCTGTTCCTCATTACAATTGATGAGTAAAGGACAGAATACACATCACAAACAATATAAGTTGAAGCAGAATCATGTAGCCTCGGGCTCGTGGTATAAAACGAGGGACACATAAAACTCTATGTACCCCGAGTGATCCTGCTACAACAAATTCATGTTTAAATATGATATTTTAAACTAATTCAAACAAATTCCAAATTGATAGAAAACAGCTGTTCAATTGTACTGAGTTTAGCTTGCGCTATGTCACGTAACTTCCATTGACGCGGAAAAAGCATGCAGCTTTTTGCTTAAAAGCAAGGTATAAGGGATTTATTCTGCCTTAGAAATCCACATGCTGCCTGATTTGCTTGTGGCAGGGTATAAGAGATTTATGCCCCCGCTGAGAAATATATTCCTATCCAAGGTGGGTTACGCAATATTTTATCAAAATTACGTGGACCAATCACATCTCATCATTCTGACATAGAGGTATGATAAAAGACTTTGAATGGAAGAGTTTTGCTAAGGGCCCATTTTGTCACAGTTGGGAAGTTTAAAAGATGTCATGAAAGTCAGAGGCAAATATGTGAATGGAGTCTCAAGATAATACAGATGACACCATATCTTGCCACAGCTTCCTGTGATCCTACTGATAAATGTACCTGCATCACCAGCAACAGTAAACAATAAACCACCAGCTTTTCTCAGAACTCACAACTTGAAGATAATAACAACAAATTTGCAAACTACTGAGGAAAAGTTATCAGACGTAACATAAAATGCAAGGGGTCCCTGTCGTTACCCTAATGTTAAGAGTTAAAGATTTAGAGGTTCCCTAGATTCAAATACTACAAGCAGATGTCAGGGGCCCCGGGACCACCCTTGACTTTGATTCGGACCTGCAATAAGAAATCTCTACTCGCCCAAATATACCGTTAACATGGGCAGATTGTTTACAGCCTCAGCACTGCAGTGGAAATCTCTGAACTGTTCCAAGGATGAGCAGGACTCCACACTGAGGTGGGCCGAGGCTGAAGCTAAGCAGGCCCTGGTGATCGTGTCCACCAACTACGGAGAGATCAGTCTGAGGTCCGCCCAGGTGTACTCCCTCCTGGGGCAGATATACTCCAAGATGAACAGGTAGGGGCTGTAACAATGTACTCATCTTCCCGAGGCAAGGGAGTTAACTGACTGTAACAGTCCAGTTTCCACTTTTGCTGAACTAGGCTGGAATTTCTGAGCTCGATCGTAGCGCCACCAGTGGCTATTATGAGTTATGTCCTTTCTATATTCAAACAAAATGGCAGCGTCCAGTGAAGACGATCTGATAAATAATCAAGGTCTTTATTGTAACAAACAGGTCTTACTTCATGAAGTGCATCAATTACATGAGCACCTTGATTTAAAACATGATAAAGATTTGGAAAATATATGTTCACACTAAATTGGTGGTACACATGCTTTGTAAATCCTGCAATCAACCAAAATCTGCATGGCAATTTTCGAACCAGGTGTCGATTTTGATTTTGCTGACTTGTATTCCACAAGAATTTCATTCTGCCAGATCAACATTGTATCGTTCGTTGTCCACAGTTCTTGTTACTTTATCCAGAGAACATATATAAAAATAGACTGAGTGGCAAAGGAAAGTGTACACTTTAAAATTTGATTTAACCCCAAATTTACACAAATATTATCAAAACGTTACAAGGCTGAATACTAGGGCTGGCTAAAGATTGATCATCAGAATTATCGTCAATGGGAAGAAATATTAACGATTATCGATATGAAATTGTTGTCATTGATAATAACTTACATAAACTATTGCGATGAAATAAAGTTTAGATTTACCGAAAAAGACTCGTTATTGTCAATAGTGTCAAGTGTTGAAGACGGAAAGCAACTGTTTTTGTTATATCTTTTATGTCCACCAAGTAATCTATGCTTGTCACTGCTCACCAGTGGGGTGAAACATGTTGATTTCTTTCGGGATTTTGCTGCGTGTTTGCTTAAAGTTACTTTCTAGTACTTTTTATCGATAATTGATCGATATTTGGTTGGGGATTATCTCTATAATTTATATCGATAGCCAGTCCTACTGAAAGCAGTTGCTGAAACACTGGAAACTCAAGGTCCAAAACATCTATGATATCCGTATCAGATACATCACCATCAAATATCCATTTCTTGTTTGTTTCATTTTTAGCCACTGTCACACATGGGTTTATACTTTCTATTGTCCTGATTCCATATCTCTACTTTATTATTTCGGGGAGGTCGGGTAGCCTAGTGGTTAAAGCGTTCGCTCGTCACACTGAAGACCCAGGTTCAATTCCCAAAATGGGTACAATGTGTGAAGCCCATTTCTGGTGTCCCCTGCCGTGATATTGCTGGAATATTGCTAAAAGCGGCGTAAAACCATACTCACTCACTCACTTTATTATTTCTGTCAAGTATCTGGTAAATAATGGATATGTCAAAATTCTTGGATACCCAGCAGTATGACATGAACTTATAATAATAACAATAATGTGCATATTTATGATGTGCCAAATCCCTAAAGCATGCTCCAAGTGCTACATTATTACTTATATTGCAAGATTATCTTAGTTGATGTGTGAAATGATAGTAATGTGTATGTGTTTTGCCCTTATTTCCAACAGGCATTTTTTAATCAGATGAAACGGGTTTGACAACATTTCTTGTATTTGACAGTTAAATGTACTGTTTTTTAAGTCATCCCGACTTGGATGCAGATTTGTGAGTACCGGAATCTACACATAGCTGATGTAAAGCAGTAGATAGATGTCTTGGATATGTTTATTATATATATAATCATGTTCAGTACTGCATATTTAGCATGCTTTTATATATCATTTACACATGTTTTACCTGTATGCATGCATAAAGAATAGATGAAGATTTTGATTTGCTGCAATTCTTGCACAAAGTAACGTAAGAGCTACTTTTATTATGTGAGCCAATATCTTGATATTTTACTGCAAAGTTTGTCTTGTGATTCCTTTGTATGTGGCAGTAAACACATCTCAGTTTGTAGACAGGGGTAGACAGACACCACTGGTCATATCCAACTAGTCCTAGAGTTTTGGAGTTTTGGAGAAGACTAGTCTGTATGGAGTTTCACTAGTCTTGGACTTATGGACTAGTGACCGCATCTATCCCTGTACTCTCTGCTCCAAGAAAGAATTAAGAAATATTATTGAAACCCTTCAATGCTTTATTTTTCACATCTTAGCACATTTCAGTTAAATTTCAAGAATATCAGTCGCACCACGATGTACCAGTGACATTTCAAGACATTAATAATTGTGAAAACATATCTTAATGTCTTCATAGTACAGATGGTTGATAGAAGAATTGATAGGAATATTTGCTGCCTGTGCATGATTTTGAAGATGCCAATATCTAGACATAACACTTCCTTTATGAACTTTTATTCATTCAGAATGTGCTTTTGCTTGTCATAGTAGCTCTGGTATCATTTTCATTTTGATTATGTTATATTTTTAAAGGATGTTTTACTTTTTATTAGAATTTATGTGGTAACCTGTAAGGCTTGTCGGTGTTTATAACAAATTGTTGTGAAACTATCACTATTTACCAGAAGCAATGGTCTGTTATTTGAAACAACTACAAATTCTCCAAGGGGAAAACTCATATGTATTAATAACTTTGATGGTTGAAAGATAGTATTGTTACATTCTGGTATTTGTACTTGTAAATGTTAGCAATTCTCAGATCTGTTTGGTCAGTTGAAGCAATATGATGTCATACTGATGCATTTTTGGTTGGTTGGTTTTTTAACGCCGCACTCAGCAATATTCCAGCTATATGATGGCGGTCTGTAAATAATTGAGTCTGGACCAGACAATCCAGTGATTAATATCATGAGCATCGATCCACACAGTTGGGATCAATGACATGCATCAACCAAGTCAGCGAGTCTGACCACCCGATCCAGTTAGTCACCTTTTACAACAAGCATAGTCATCTTTTACGGCAAGCATGGGTTGCTGAGACCTATTCTACCCCGGAATCTTCACGGGTCTGATGCATTTTGAAGAAACAAACAAACAATAAGGTGTAATCAATACTGCATGGCATTACAAATGTGATATCACTTCATCTGAACTGCATGTTGATTTCAGTGGAGTTTCATTCATTAGTTTCTTTATTTTCTTTCTTAAATTGATAATGGGTTAAATAAAGAAACATCTTCTGGAAGGTTAGAATTCTTTCAAGAATTAATGCTGTAAGCCGCTTGCTCAGTTCATCAAACATCACCCACTGAATCACATTAGGACCTTGTTTGTTATTCTCTCCATCTCTTCTCCAGACTGGACGAGGCGGAGAAGCACCTGGAGCTGAGCATGTCGTACATGCGTCTGTGTCAGAGCCCCGGCAGCAACTATCTCCTCCTGGCCATGGCAACACTGGCCACCTTCTACAAGATCGTCAACAAACCCACCCAGGCTGTGCCCCTACTGCAGCAGGTCATTGCAGCAGTCGGTAAGTAGCGGAGTGAGTGAGTGGATGTTGTCTAATGCCAGGGTCAGCAATATTTCAACTATATCCCACCTGCCTGTAAATAATGAGTCTGGACCAGGCAAACCTGTGGTTGTAGCATATTTAACGTACCATACCGTATGATGACACACAATCTTGTTTGTTGTTTAAGGCCACAGTGTATATACTCAAGCTAATCATCCCATGCCTTCTTGCCCCGTGGGGATTCCGGGTTAGAATAGGTCTCCAAAAACCTAACCCAAATAGGTCTCCAAAAACCTATGCTGACCCGTGAAGATCCGGGATATAGTAGGTCTTCAGCAACCCATACTTGTCGTAAAAGGTGACTATGCTTGTCGTAAGAGGCGACTAACAGGATCGGGTGGTGTGGCTCGCTGACTTGGTTGATGCATGTCATCGTATCCCAGTTGCGTGGATCGATGCTCACGATGTCAATCACTGGATTCTCTGGTCCAGACTCGATTATTTACAGACTGCCGTCATATTGCTGAAATATTGCTGAGTGCGGCGTTAAACAACAAACAAACAAAACAAAACAAACCGAAAACCTATGCTGGTCGTAAGAGGTGACCAAATGGATAAGACAGTCAGGTCAGTGATTTGGTTGATAGGGTGTCATCGTACCCTAATGGTGTGGAACGTTGCTTACAATATGAATCACTGGATCATCTGGTCTAAACTCAGTTATTTACAGGCCGCTATCGTATAGCCAGAATATTGCTAGATATGAGACAACAAACAAAGAAACACTGCTTCTAGAGAGCCCATCACCCATGGATATGGTTACATCTCTCGTTACAGAGTCACCCGGGTTCTACCTCCGCTGGGTACACATGTGTTACGACAACCTGGTGAAGCTGCTCCAGTCTGGGGGACAGAACAAGCAGGCGGATGACGTGCAGAAGTCTCTGTCCCACTGGCTACAGGAGAACCCAGCCCTGGACAAGCCGGTCAGTCCGGACACTCTCCGACAGAAGCCGCCCCTGTACAAGGAGTTCCTGGAGAAGTATTACAAGTGGGGTGCCACTGTGAAGAAAGCCCTGCTGGGATTTACTGCAGGGGATGGCAACTAGAGATATCAGGCAACACAAGGAGGCAGCAGTTGTTCTTTCCATCCCCATGTCACCGCAGTGGATCGATGTTAGACAATTATGAAGAATGACAGTTTGATACTTACCTATTTTTCCTTCTATATAATATATACAACTCCAATTTTGATAGGAATTGATATACAAAACTGATTTTCATAATACATCAAGTGTTTATTTAATAGAATGACTTATCTGATTATCCCTATCAAAAGTTGAGTAGCATGCATAGTGAGAATTCTTAAGAAATTTGGATTATTGTCTAAATTATTGATCATTCATTATTTGTTATTTTGATATTTAAAAAAAATATTTTAGGGGGTATTTCTTTTCCTCACTATATGACTCCAAGTCAGTAGAAATATTTTATGCAAAATTCATTGGTTTGCAGCTTGAAGTCAATTGTACACAAAAATACAAGCATCATCAGCAACAGACATTGTATCAAATTTGTTTTGTTTGTTGAAATTGTATTAATGCATTGAATTTGTTTTGATTGTTTATATTTGCAGTATGTTTGTTGTCATAGATCCTGTTTAGAGGGAAGACATCCTAAATTAGGATGTACAGGAAATATATAACACAAGGACAGAAATGATTTTATCATTATGCAGTCAATATGTAAATAGACACATTATGAGGACTATGTACATGACGCTATCTTTCCGTACAGATGTAGCTTAGTCTGAGCCCTCAGGACAAGAGCAGTTTTATGATGATCTCCTCGCTGTGTCAGTGTTATGTGTATAGTGTTAGAAGTAAACTAAAACCCCACTAACCTGCAATTACCGGTACAGTTGAGTGTCTACTTATGTCAGTGTTATGTGTATAGCATTAGAAGTAAACTAAAACCCCACTAACCTGGACACCTCAGTTTCCAGACAATTACAGTTGAGTGTCTACTTATGTCAGTGTTATGTGTATAGCATTAGAAATACACTGAAACCCCATTAACCTGGACACCTCAGTTCCCAGACAATTACAGTTGAGTGTCTACTTATGTCAGTGTTATGTGTATACTGTATAGCATTATAAATACACTGAAACCCCATTAACCTGGACACCTCAGTTTCCAGACAATTACAGTTGAGTGTCTACTTATGTCAGTGTTATGTGTATAGCATTAGAAGTAAACTCAAACCCCATTAACCTGGACACCTCAGTTTCCAGACAATTACAGTTAAGTGTCTACTTCTATGATGGACATTAGTCCATAGCAGTGATTCATTAAGCCAAACAGTTTTTCCAGATTTCAGGGGAAGTGGTACTGTCCTGATTGTCAGGGTTCCACTGTATACATCAGTGTTACAGATCTCTTCATTTATCATATGTGACATCAAGGCCGTAGTTAACTTTTTTTGACTGAGGGGCAAATATTTGTACAAGTATCACTTGTCCCGAACTTGATTCAAATAAAACTGTTTTCTATAAAAATTCTAGGGGGGCAACTGCCCCCCCACCCCCCTTGCCTCCCCGGCTATCTATGGCACTGGACAAGTTAAACACTAAATACTGATGCTGGGTCCTTTCTACAGAACAGTCTTTATTTTTTTACACTGGACAATATAGTCCACTATACAAAACACTTTTTATATACATGTCAGTGTACAAAGTGCCTGCTGTGTGAGAAATGTTTAAGAGTATGAAATCCCTCATCACATATAGTTACGAGCCAAAAACATATTCGCACAATGAAGACAATATAAAGTAAAACTTAACATATTTGCTCAATCTGTGTACCTATGTTAGTAATTTCAAATATTGAAAACGTACCAAGTATTTTTCTATGTTAACCTACACAGATGAGACAATATGTAATCTGTACATGACGGCATCCTTGTGTAGACCTCCTTGTTGACCAGTAGACTCACTGGTATTGCTTTGATGTGATATTACACTGTTTGATTTAATGTGATATGAGACTGTTTGAATGTGTGCACAGATTATCAGCATTACCTATGATTATCAAATATCTTGTACTGCTTTACTTGTTGAGTATAGTACATTGCGATGACCATATATTGATTGTAATGCAAACTGGTGCATCTGTTATCATTGTTGCACTGGTGATGTCTGTTTCATCATGAAGATAGATATATTCCACATAATAAGCGCCCTGCTCTAATAAGCGCCCACGGCGATATTTGCTCATACACGTATATTGGCTAGTGAACAATCCCAATTAGCACCTCTTCCAAATGATCAATGTACACTTATTTATTCGTGTATAATACACACTTTTGTGTTATATGCACCCTTAATAATGGGCAATTAAATCCTGGAAAATATATCTGTCGTGTTTAATACGCACAGATTTTTCTTTTGTATCATTTCAGGCTGTCAGGATAAACGACAAGGTTTACGATTTTTCCATTCTGTTTTTTTCTCACCAATATTAATTTCTAATAAGATCCCCCTATTTCTAATTTTGAGAGCGCCCAGGGTGTATTACGTCAAATATGGTACATACACTCCATGAGCTGCATGTATTTGCAGATTTCTTGTACGGATGCACGATTCGGTGCATATGTGATATGCGTCTGACAATACAAAACAGGATATGCTTACTGATGTATCATTTCAGATTTTAAAATATCTAATGAGAATAAATGAGGTTTTTCAATAACCCGACCCGATTACGAACTACACTCCCTTAATCTACCTGGGTGCTGTTGTACAAAACAACCTTAGCGCTACGACTGTGGTAAGTCTATGTTAAGGTATGGGAGTTACTTTAGCGCTAAGATTGCTTTGGAAAACGCCACCCTGACCAATACTTTGTAGCTTCCTGTCTGACAAGAGGTCAGTGCTATTAACCAGTTTGTGTTGGCTTGCTTGATCGGTTAATTTAGGCAAGAATATGTTAACTCTCGGCCGAACTTGAAAGATGGATAAATGCTGAATGTATGAAATGCTGTACAACAAAAAAAGTGGAATAATAAAAAAAAAATATTAAAAAAAATATGTTAACTAATAAGGCAAGCCAGCACAAATTGGTTAATAGCAATGGCCTTTTGTCAGACACACTACAAGGAATATGGAGAATTCCATCCAAAATGCACCATATCACCACAGCGTATTGTAAAGGTGGTGTATTGGGGGATACCCCGAACTTCTTAGTCGTTACTTCTGCAGACAGGCTTTTGTTCTACAAATTTGAAAATATATTCATTGCACCTATAAACATTCCATATGAATTTGAGCTACATTTCCTCAGTGAGGAAGCACTTGTTTGATGGATGTACATTCCGTCCTAATTGTGTACAGCACTTGCATCCTGTGATTACGAGCAGTAAAATCGTAAAACCTCAAATAATACACTGGTTTTATGATTTATTGATACAGGCTCATCTTCAAATAGTGTAAATATTCATAATGAACATGTTATGACCACTGTAAGTATAGTCACCCAGTTGTCATGGATACTATCCCATGCACCGGCTGCAGTGTTTCACTTGGAGGATTTCCAGATAATGCCATGTGTGTCATGGATGTATTTGATGAAAGAGTTCAATTTTTCAACATTCGTTGATCGGTTTAACTTCAGTGGACAAGCTAAATAACTGCTCAGGATACAAAACAGTTGTGACTAACAAAAGGATCATAAGCTCTCATGCATTATCTTGTGGATTACATCATGAGAACTAGGGCAGGGACGGGTTAACTCAGGTACTCGGGTCGGGTGGGTCCTGAGTAGGACCCGGGTACCCACAGAACTACCCGGACCAGTGGTTAGTCACCCAATATTGTTTCACAACAAAAACTCACTCGATTGGTTACACTACAAGTCGCTAATGTTCTCATTTCTTTTTGACGATGCACACATTCCTTTTGACTTGTATATGTTTGAATAAAGATAAAGCTTCTGTCAACTTAAGTGTACCCATGATCTGATTGTTTGATACATATATCTAAATAGGCCAGGGCTGTGATAAAACAATCCCCATTTAGACATTTTATTCCCAACTCTTGAAACCTACAGCGTGTACCCAGGTAGGGTCGGGTATATGGGGTCAGGTACCTGGGTGGTAAATTTGGACTCATCCAAGCCCTAATGAGAACATATAGTCCATTGCAGCAAGTCATGATGTTGCCTTCTTTGTTGCCTACAACGTGCACATGCAGAGAGTATATAGTTCACTATTGAGTCACATTTGTTGAATCACAGCATTCTTGTTGTCAGCTTGACTGGGCTCCTGTCAACACATATCAACAGTGGAACCAGTTTCTGTCTTAGCGTGTCACCTAGCATTCCTGGCGTCAGCTGACAAAGAGTTAGTTTGAAAGTTTCAGTATATATATGAATAAAGATCAATGTTTGACTAATATCTAGTCTCTGAAATGAACATATTTTACTAAAAAAAAGTTGTTAAATTATGGTTTTTAAATATAACCAAAAAGAGACCAGACCCTTTTTTTAGTTTCAGACTCGCCAAATATTATAGACTTGCATGGGTTGTATTGGATATATTTGTTTCAGGGTCGGTATGACAGACTAGGATCATTGTATACTGTGATGTTTGATATCCAGATTTCTTACTTCATGTTATTGTCAATGGTCAGTATAGATTGTGCAACTTTTACAAAGTATTGACAACATTAGTGATGTCAGTTCGACAGATTATTGCCATAAATAAATATATTTATAAATGAAAATGGGTAAGTTCTTTGTCAACTCATTAATATTCACTACTGCTTGAATCTACGATACTACAAACACAAACACCTTTATTCCCCATGGTTTGTTTGTTTGTTTGTTTGTTGTTTAACACCGGACTCAGCAATATTCCAGCTATATGACAGTGGTCTGTATGTGATCGAGTCTGGAACAGACAATCTAGTGATTGACATCATGAGCATTGATTGGGATACGATGACATGCACCAAGTCAGCGAGTCTGACCACCTGATCCCGTTAGTCGCCTCTTACGACAAGCATAGTCGCCGTTTACAGCAAGCATGGGTTGCTGAAGACCTATTCTACACAGAGATCTCTGTGATGAAAAGACTGATAGATGTCTTTTCTTGCCTAACAATAAAAGACATGAATATGTGTTGTTGGGCTATATGTATCTCGGTTATCATGTGAGTGAGTGAGTTGGGTTTAACGCCATTCCCTTGAACAGTGAGTGAGTGAGTATGGTTTTACGCCGCTTTTAGCAATATTCCAGCAATATCACGGCAGGGGACACCAGAAATGGGCTTCACACATTGTACCCATGTCAGGATTCGAACCCGGGTCTTCAGCATGACGAGCGAACGCTTTAACCACTAGGCTACCTGACTGCCCCCCATTGAACAGTATTCCAGTTATATCACAGCATGTCAGCTTCATAGAGAAGGAAAGCCTGAAGTGATGCAGGACGTTTACGACATTGGTGAAACCCACAAGCATGGCTATGGTGCTGGGAACCTAGAAACATGATCAGGGTGAACCAGGATTCAAACCCACTGTATAAGGTTATTGGCATACCTAAGGGATGCAACTCTGCACAGGGAATTGTGGCACCTTAGCCAACTGGGCCACCCATGGCCTCATGGTTGAGTAGTAAAACACACAAGTACTGGTAAGTAACAGGTTTATTCATGATGAAAGTAGAAAATATATCTGAAGTAGCAAACCCCTAGATAAAGCCATAACTGAGCAGACTTCACTAACAACACAGTGAAAAAATATTTTTTAAATATTGCAAGACATTCAAATTTGGGCAAACACAACAGCCCTTTTCATCGATGGACCTCTTGAGCATCTAGAGTAATGAGACTACCTGTAGATGAATGTATACATTATCCTGGATAATCAGTCAATTTATTTTGCTATTATACTTCTGTTTCTTAGGCTTAAAAAAATATCTAAAAAAAAAGGTTCTCAGGCAATGTTTTTTTAAAATATAGTGTGGGCCGTGTCTTTTAAAAATACTAGAAAACAGTATTTGACTACCGTTGGACTTTTTGTAAAATGGAATAAAAACGAAACGTTATGATGATGCCTGAGAACCAAGACTATTACTTTTTTTAGCCTCACAATTTATTTTTACAGCAGATAACTCCTTGTACTAGATTTGCTCATTATCTAAACCAAAACATGAAGCATTACCAAATTTCACTCCTAGCCCCTGCCCTAATGCGAGAGTCGGCAAGACATGGATACATCATTGACATAGTGTCAGCTACAAATATTAACATGTTAACAAATTTCTTATTTTAATACACAAATTAATTTTGGCAGCTTGAGGGCTATCAATATGATCAAAGTCAAACAGAGCAAGAATATGTTCAATTGTATCTCTCGTCACTGATAATCAGCAACACAAACAGTGTACGGTTCAACGAAACATCGGATAGCACTTTTCAATATCACAGGAACCACATCATGTCATTCGTTTGCATAATTTACAAGGCATATTTATTACTTGACACAAACATAGAAACTACAAAATAATCAAGGCAGTATCTGCACATATAGGTAGTGATAACACATCTAGAAACAATGTACCATGACCAAATGGAAAGCCGGTGAAAACACGCAATTATAATGGCCCCAGTCAAACCATGTTACAGTCATGCCCCGCTTATACGGACTTCAGATATCCGGAAACCTTGGTTCCCGGACGATTTTCATTCAAAACGAAATAATTACTATATAAATTTACCCGTATATACAGAAATTCAGTTTCCGGAACCGGATGGTCATTTTCATACACAAAACACTGAAATGCACACAAAATTGTCTCACTTACCCAGACAATACACTTCAGCTGGTGGTAATCCTTTGATTCGTGTGAAGTCAATTAACCAAGTGACACTGAGTTACGATCGAGACGAGCAAGTTTATTGTACATGTAATCCCATTCGATAAATATGGCGTCTGTGGAGGTCAGAGGTCAAAGTTGTGACTTCAAACTGTGAGTATGGCCTGTCAACCAGCGACACGTAAGCGACACGCAGTTACAGCATGCGAAAAAAGGGAAATTTCTCTGTTTCAGGAAAAACACCCTCATAATTGAAGGGAAGTAACTCTTCCAGTAAGAAGCTGGTTTCAGTTATACGGAAATTCGTTTATACGGACGAATTGTGAAATGACGCAAGTGTCTGTATAAACGAGGCACGACTGTACATACATATGAAGTATACATACTCAAACACCATTGTTATTACTATATAAACAAGTAACCCTTGTACATTACAATCAATATAATCAATGTGTAGAATTTCCTGAATAACAAACTTCAATTTCATTTAAATGTGTCCAAAAGAATATTGCCATACCATTCTTTGTCCCATGTGTTAAAGGGAGATAACTCATGTGACAATCCTACTGCGGAGGTATTCCATGACAGCAGGAGTGCCCTTGGCAAGTATTGCTGGTCGTGGATTGCGACAAGGGTTCCCTGCAAGTTGCAGTGATCTGAAATCAACAATAATTGTAATATTTTCATTTAATTATTTCAACATGTTAGTAGTGCATGCAAAACATGTTTGGGATTGATATAAATATTTTTCAGGATGCTTATGCCCCCAAAAAATTGGAAGCAAAATCTAATACTGAATAAAGTGAAAGTACTAAGGCTAAAAAAAAAGAGTCTTGGTTCTCAGGCACTGCTGCATTATCATAAAGTCTGCCACACATTTTGTTTTTATTTCCATTTTCAAAAAATATATAAATCCTAATACTTAAACACAATGGACACAAAAATTTAAAATGGAAACAAAAACGAAACTTGTAATGAACTTTATAATGATGCAGGTAGTGCCTGATTTTTTTTAGCCTAACATGTCTGAGGATCAACACAACCTTTGCTGAAGACCAATTCTAACCCAGATCTTCACCAGTCCAGGGCCCAAAGTGATGCTAACTCTGTCGTATGTCACAGCAATACAATATGTCCCTGTCTATTTTCACAATGCACTAAATCAGTTTCAGTTTGGTTGCAGTATGTACAACATGCTCCAAGTGTGCTGTTTACCAAATATACTACAACCATGGCGCAGTTAACATTACCACACTGGGGTACATTTGCGCACACAGAAAGGTCCTTTCGCACATTTGTGTTGTCTGACCACAACAGCGAGTGTTAGGGCTAGGACTGCTTTGTGGAATGGAGTCCTGGATGAGAGGTTGATAGTGTGAGAAACAAAGTGAGGTCCTACCAGTGTCTCATCTGTGTCATGTATACACTACTGTATATCGCTGTGTATAAGGCAAGTTTTTCACAGCTAGAATTAGGGGGCTTTCAAGGGGGGTGGGGGTCGTCTAAAACACTGGGTTGAAGACTGAGCACCGGCAATACCATGTCAACAAATCTGTACTGAAGTATGCAAATTAATCATGTAATTACACTGTCTGGTTATAAAAAGCATTCATTGTTTATCGTGTACTTGTGTTTGTAATCTATTTTAATAATCTTATTCAAAATTTCATGCAATATTGATCACATTCATTTTAGCGAAATTGTGTGTGAAGTGATCAGTAGATCGCACAACCACAACCACAGTCAGATTACCACTATTGACGCCTAAATGAACTTTAGTGGATAGAAAATGGATATATATATATAAAAAATGCCATACATTGACTTGTTGAAAGTCCTATTTGTAATCAATGTGGGCGTGCTGTATGGGGAACGAGGCACTCACCTGATGGACTCACAGTTACCCAGCTCGGGGAACGAGGCACTCACCTGATGGACTCACAATTACCCAGCTCGGGGAACGAGGCGCTCACCTGATGGACTCACAGTTACCCAGCTCGGGGAACGAGGCGTCACCTGATGAACTCACAGTTACCCAGCTCGATGAACGAGGCACTCACCTGATTGACTCACAGTTACCCAGCTCGATGAACGAGGCACTCACCTGATTGACTCACAGTTACCCAGCTCGGGGAATGAGGTACTCACCTGATGGACTCACAGTTACTCAGCTCGGGGAACGAGGCACTCACCTGATTGACTCACAGTTACCCAGCTCGGGGAATGAGGTACTCACCTGATGGACTCACAGTTACCCAGCTCGGGTGGGAACTGGGTACAGTTGTTATTCTGTAGATCAAGAGTCGCCAGCATTGTCAGCTTCATCAGACTGGCAGCATCAATCACTTCAATCTTGTTGTCACTGGCTAACAGGATCTCTAACTTTGGCAGTTGATACAACACTGGAGGAACTTGGGTAAACCTGTCAGGAATCAAACAGAGATGGAAAAACAATCCATACAATCATACACCTCTGACTGGGTGCGTACCACACTCTTGAGAGATCCTACATCTCTGACCAGGGTGTACAACACTCTTGGGAGATCCTACATCTCTGACCAAGGTGTACAACACTCTTGGGAGATCCTACATCTCTGACCAAGGTGTACAACACTCTTGGGAGATCCTACATCTCTGACCAAGGTGTACAACACTCTTGGGAGATCCTACATCTCTGACCAAGGTGTACAACACTCTTGGGAGATCCTACATCTCTGACCAAGGTGTACAACCATCTTGATAGATCCTACATCTCTGACCAAGGTGTACAACACTCTTGATAGATCCTACATCTCTGACCAAGGTGTACAACCATCTTGAGAGATCCTACATCTCTGACCAGGGTGTACAACACTCTTGGGAGATCCTACATCTCTGACCAAGGTGTACAACACTCTTGGGAGATCCTACATCTCTGACCAAGGTGTACAACACTCTTGGGAGATCCTACATCTCTGACCAAGGTGTACAACACTCTTGGGAGATCCTACATCTCTGACCAAGGTGTACAACCATCTTGATAGATCCTACATCTCTGACCAAGGTGTACAACACTCTTGATAGATCCTACATCTCTGACCAAGGTGTACAACCATCTTGAGAGATCCTACATCTCTGACCAGGGTGTACAACACTCTTGAGAGATCCTACATCTCTGACCAAGGTGTATAACGCTCTTGAGAGATCCTACATCTCTGACCAAGGTGTACAACACTCTTGGTAGATCCTACATCTCTGACCAAGGTGTACAACACTCTTGGGAGATCCTACATCTCTGACCAAGGTGTACAACACTCTTGGGAGATCCTACATCTCTGACCAAGGTGTACAACACTCTTGGGAGATCCTACATCTCTGACCAAGGTGTACAACACTCTTGAGAGATCCTACATCTCTGACCATGGTGTACAACACTCTTGAGAGATCCTACATCTCTGACCATGGTGTACAACACTCTTGAGAGATCCTACATCTCTGACCAAGGTGTAGAACACTCTTGAGAGATCCTACATCTCTGACCAAGGTGTACAACACTCTTGGTAGATCCTAAATCTCTGACCATGGTGTACAACACTCTTGGGAGATCCTACATCTCTGACCAGGGTGTACAACACTCTTGAGAGATCCTACATCTCTGACCAAGGTGTACAACCATCTTGATAAATCCTACATCTCTGACCAAGGTGTAGAACACTCTTGAGAGATCCTACATCTCTGACCAAGGTGTACAACACTCTTGATAGATCCTAAATCTCTGACCAAGGTGTACAACCATCTTGATAGATCCTACATCTCTGACCAAGGTGTACAACACTCTTGATAGATCCTACTTCTCTGACCAAGGTGTACAACACTCTTGAGAGATCCTACATCTCTGACCAAGGTGTACAACCATCTTGATAAATCCTACATCTCTGACCAAGGTGTACAACACTCTTGATAGATCCTACTTCTCTGACCAAGGTGTACAACACTCTTGAGAGATCCTACATCTCTGACCATGGTGTACAACACTCTTGGTAGATCCTACATCTCTGACCAAGGTGTACAACACTCTTGAGAGATCCTACATCTCTGACCACAGTGAACAACACTCTTGATAGATCCTACATCTCTGACCAAGGTGTACAACACTCTTGAGAGATGCCACTGACTCTACATTCATAAATAATTTATTTGAACATTTCATGAACACAATAAAGCTACAACTAACATTGTACTACCCATATAATTATAACTGGAAACATATCTGCTTCTCAGACATGACATTCACAGATTACAAATAACTTCCTCACCTGTTATTCGACAGAATGACCTCCCTTATATTCTGTAATGAGGTCATCTCCCCTGGCAAGTCTGACAGGGCATTGCACCTGAAGGGAAACAGATACTAAACTGAACAGATGTACAAGTGAGTGAGGGAGCAGTTCCGTCATTATGTAGCCTTCATTGCTGAACATGCCTTCATCGGATCAACAATGTTGTTCTTTCTGATGCACGTTGCACCTTCCTGCCCGGCATCCCAACACAGTACTAATATATAATACCTGGACATTTCCATGCTACTCTGGTAATGCCCCAAGGATGATTTGCAGAAACAGCTTTCCCGAACACACTTCTTAATAAACCTATAGTCTTCTGAATTGGTCTATATACATAACAGACTGGACCTGTGACTGATCTATGTCATTCTACAAACACATCTGACAGAAGCCTACCAGTAGTTACAGTGTACTGAAAATTAGCAGATTAAATAACACTTAGAACAAAGCTATAAATAACCTCGAACTAACAATTCCCAGCATGCATCCTGCCCTGGTACATGCTGGACGATGTTACTTGGGATCAAGAGTGGTCATAAAGGGAAGTGCTTCAGTGCCCTACCTGAGGTCCAGAGTGGTCATGCTGGAGATGATGTAGCCACCTACCTGAGGTCCAGAGTGGTCATGCTGGAGATGATTTAGCCACCTACCTGAGGTCCAGAGTGGTCATGCTGGAGATGATTTAGCCACCTACGTGAGGTCCAGAGTGGTCATGCTGGAGATGATTTAGCCACCTACCTGAGGTCCAGAGTGGTCATCCTGGAGATGATTTAGCCACCTACCTGAGGTCCAGGGTGGTCATGCTGGAGATGATTTAGCCACCTACCTGAGGTCGAGGGTGGTCAGCTGCAGAAACAGACCGATGTCCGAGTTAAGGACTGTCAGCTTGTTGAAGCCCATGTTGAGTTCCTTCAGGGAGTTGCTCAACAGCGTTAGCCTAGAACAGACATACCTTGTACATACTTTCACATGATATAGATGGAATTTGGCTACTGAATCACAAAATTATGTCAAACATACATGCTCTACATAACACAAGTAGTAATTTATAATTGTGTAACAGCTGTATATTCTTGCAACACATCTGTACACCCAGAACTCATATCAGTACATAGAGATTAAGTTTGTTGGAAAAAAAATAATTTTACATATTATAATTTAATATTAGCATGATTAAGAAGTAGCATTTAAAATACAGAAGGTTAACGTTTTCAGAAAGCCATCACTTGGTCAAGATGGCCAAAACTTCCACCCTGGTACCCCTTTTTGAACAGGTCCCTAGCAACCTATGCTGGTCATAAATGGCAACTTAATGAATTGGGTGGTCAAGCTCAGTGACTCCATGATAGTGTGTCATCGTAACCCAATGGATAATTATGCATTTTATCAATCATTGGATCGTGAGGTCCGTCATATAGCTGGAACATTGCTGAGTGTGGCGTTAAACAACAAATAAACAAACAAACTGTGAGAAGAAACATGATTAAAACCACCTTATGACAGGAACATGTCCATGGAAAAGCTGACATGAGACAATAGACATTCTGTAGAAATATACCTTGCCAATCAAGGTCACAGTATAGGTACCACAAAACCATTCCTGGGATTCAAACAGTGGGTTTGTGCGATGCCTTGTCCACACACAACCAAAAACGGTCAGCTACGTAGCATGCAGTGTGAGGGAGTCACCTGTAAGGTAAAGTTTGTTTGATCTTACTTGTCAGGTATTTGGGTGAAAGTATTCTTGCTGAGGTTTACAGAGTTGACTTCAGCTTTCGAAGCTGCTTCCCACACATCTAGCGGTACCTCGTTCACTTTCTTGTTGCTGCAAAAATAATTTATCAATATCTTTATTTTATTTTCATCAAAGCAACTAAGCTGAAGTAAAAGCAGGGTAGCATGTATTGTTTTTTTCGTACAAGTATTTCTGAAAACACAAACCCCTGCTACTGTACATTTTATGACATTTCATGGTTTAGTTCTTACAGTATGCTTCGTAGGCAAGCAGTTTAACCCTGAACAACATTTTTCAAAAGCCTCTTTGATATAATTTTTTTTAAATTGAGTCACAAAAAGAAGAGGAAAACAGGGACCTGTAACACACTTTCAGAATCTTTGTATATCTCTGGAATGATTTAGCAGGTTTAGGGTGTGATTTAAGATTCTTCTCTCAGAAATATTCAAATCCTTTCACTAAATTAATTCCAGTGAGAGAAAATATTCCCTCACAGACTTGTCACATCAAAAGCATTTAAAAACCATTGCAATGGGAACAAACATAGAGATCTCTTCAAATTGTTTCATATTATCCCAACCATAGAGGATTTCATCCCATACCCCTTCAAAGCCAGAAGAACCCCAGGACTGACCTATAGTCAAGATTCTTAAACTGATGCAGATCGTGCGCTTTGACGCCATCCTCCCCCGCCCCCAGCACTCCAGGGCCTCCTGTTGACAGGCCTGAACTGCCGTTCTGCTTCACTGGCTCTGCCTCCTCGATACGACTACTCAGGTATTTCTTCAACTGCATCGTGCCCCTCTGTTGAAATACAACTCATTCCCATCAAGCATCTTGTACTTGTCAATCACACTGCAATGTAGGACGGAGGGAGTCAACTACTCTTTGCAGCCAATGTTACAACGTGGGAAACAGTGGCAGTGTAGGTTCGAATCCCGGATGGGACTGAACCTCAAAAAGTACTTATATCTGTACTTTACTAAGAAAGTGTTATCCCAAATATAACATTTGTTACATCTGACCACCTTCTAAATGGCATTGCGTTTATAGCTTGCGGCATTGGTAGCCCTGCCAATTAACACTTGTCAGAGGGGTACACAAAGTACCTGATCTAGACTACCAGTTGTCGGACTTTCATTTTGTGAAAGCCTCAGAGGCTGAGTGGGTTAGATCGCTGACTTTATGTGCTGGCGATAAGGTACCTCAGTCTGGCACTGTGGGTTTGAATCCTGTATGGGACTGAACCCCCAAATGTACTAGAATCTGTACTTTACTACTAAGAAAGAGGGAAACAGATGGCCACACAAATAGGTGCAAAACAGTCACAAATGTTTTTATTCTGGAATGAGTACTTGACTGAATTTTGTTTCACTCCAGGAAGCAGCATTCCTACTATATCACAGTGGCCTGTAAATAATCAAATCTGGGTCAGGCAACCATTGGTTGACAGCATGAGCACCAATTTCTACCCATCATGGCATGACACACAAATAGCCTGGAGACTCATTCTCTGGATCCTTATAAAACAACTCATGTGAAAAGCAATAGCTTCTACAGACCTATTCTGACACTGAACCCAATACTTGGATCTGAGGTGTGCACATGTGTGTGTGTGCATGATGCTAGTCTGCTTGTACTAGTCTGGACTAATGCCAGATTTATAGTGCTAGCCCAAGCAGATACTATGCCGCAGTTGAACAAGGATACCCCACTCAGACACAATAAACAGATTCCATGTCGTCCAGTCCTTGTTTTATCCTTTTAATGCCAAGCAAGGAACAAGTATCATCTTTCAACGTCTTTTGGTATGACATGGTCATGGATTGAACCACCGACCTCCCACTCTCCGGGCAGATGCTCTATTTACTAGACCACAGAGGCGGTACACAGGTCCTGAAGTGGGTGGGTGGGTGCAGGTGTGCGTATCCCCCCCTTTTAAAGCACATTATACATTAAGGAATTTTACAGGTGTATGGGTATACTAAAGGTCAAAGTATAACAACATCATGATTCACGCACTTGGGAACATAACTCCAACAATATTGCATGACTATTGAAAGTGAATTGCCAAATTACAAAATGAACCCTTCCATTTTCAAACAGCTGTATCTGTGCTTGGAGTGAGTGAGAGTGAGTATGGTTTTACGCCACTTTCAGCTATATTCCAGCAGTATCACGGCTGGGGGACACCAGAAATGGGCTTCACAATCTGTGCTTGGAATCCCTATAAACATGAGGTGGATTGTTTGTTGTTAATGCCTCACTCAGCAATATTCCAGCTGTATGACAGGCAGCCTGTAAATAATTGTATTTGAACAATGATCCATTCCGTCAGGGTACGAGAACAAGCTATGAACCAAGTCACTGAGCCTGACCACCTGATTCATGTGGTCGCCTCTTACAACCAGCAAAGGTTGCTGGGGACCTAATCTATGGTGTTCCAGACGTAAATGTTGTTTCTCGATGATGTTAATACAATCTCACCATGATGATGTCTCGCCGGATCCCCTTCATGGGGTTGCCGTCCAGGACAAGTGACTTGAGGGAGTTGATTGTGCCCAGGCCGTAGGGGAGGCTGTATGTAAAGATACACAGATTGAAACTGCTGTACTAAATAACACAATTTGCATCACACACAACTCAAACTTGGACAGAGGTAGCGGAGTCTGTGCTTAACTCTGCCTTGAACAATGTATCAGCTACTTCAATGTCAGTGAGCCCACAGTGACACAGGTTGTAGCATACAAAGACAGTAAACTTGTACATGTTTACCATTCTAGGTGAGGCGAAATGGGGTTTAATGTCGCGTCCAAGATTATTGCACTTATGTAGTGTTAGTGTTAGTTAGTTAGTTAGTTAGTTAGTTAGTTAGTTAGTTAGTTAGTTAGTGTGTGTGTGTGTGTGTGTGTGTGTCAGTGTGTGTGTGTGTGTGTCATTGTGTGTGTGTGTGTGTGTGTGTGTGTGTGTGTGTGTGTGTGTGTGTGTGTGTGTGTGTGTGTGTGTGTGTGTGTGTGTGTGTGTGTGTGTGTGTGTGTGTGTGTGTGTGTGTGTGTGTGTGTGTGTGTGTGTGCTTGTACTAGTCTGGACTGATGCTGATTTCATAGTGCTAGTCCACTGAGATACCATCAATCAGTTTAACATGTATACCCCCCTTAGACATAGTATACTGACTCCAAGCCGACAAGCCTTTGTTTTAGCCCCTTAATGCCGAGCGCCAGACAGGGTAGCAACAAGTACCATATTTTAATGTCTTTTGGTATGACGTGGCCAGGGATTGAACCCTGGACCCTCCACTCTCCCCGGGAGGACGCTCTACCACTAGACCATGACGGCGGTCTCTACCAGTGAAATCCGTGAGTATATGTATGGTGCTGACAGACCAAGGGTTGTCATCTTGGAAAATCTCAAATTCCAACCCGCAAACAGCGGATCCTGGCACAACAAAGAGACAAAACTCATGTTAATGGTTAAAATTACATGAAAACCTTACAGTAAAGTGACAGTGTACAAGCATACTCATCAACCACATGGTCATCAGAAAACCCACACCATACTTCTTGAGTCGAGTGTTCATGTGTCATATGTTGCATCGTATAAAAATAAAGTGCATCCTGACCATGTCGACTTTACTAATGTACATGCTGAGTATCCAGAATGTTCAGAGTGCTAATCATCGTAGTAGCAGCTCTACCCCATACAAGGAAAAGACCTGCACCTAGACCACCTTGGTCTGGAGGACAAGACTGTCTGCACGGAAAGCGCAGGTCGATGGTTCTATCCCTGGTCATATCATACCCAAAAAAATTAAGCAAAAACAAGGACTTGTCGTTGACTCAGAGTCAGTACAATGTATTTTAGCGGGGTATCCATGTCAAACTAGGGAAAGATATCTCAGTGTGCAGCACTATATAACTAACATTGGTCCTTACTACATGTGGTACAAGCAGCCACACACAATCACACAGATGCATACACTTCGCTATATAAGTGCAATATGTCAAACTAGGGAATGATATCTCAGTGTGCAGCTCTATATAACTGACATTGGTTTAACTAGTACAAGCAGCCACACACACAGACAGACACACACACAGACACACACACATGCATGCACTTCAATATATATAAGTGCAATATGTCAAACTAAGGAATGATATCTCAGTGTACAGCACTATAAAACCGACATTGGTCCGTATTAGTACAAGCAGACACACACACACACACACATGCATGCACTTCACTATATATAAGTGCAATATGTCAAACTAAGGAATGATATCTCAGTGTACAGCACTATAAAACCGACATTGGTCCGTACTAGTACAAGCAGACACACACACACAGACACACACACACACATGCATGCACTTCGCTATATAAATACAAAGATCTTGAACGCGACATTAAACCCCATTTCACCTTGCCCCTTCTCTTTCCCAGCATCCTTGTCGTCCATGCTACAGAAGCACCACAACTACATCTCACTGATACACCTGTGACATGACATCACTCTGGTGCCCTTCAGCCACACAATCCACATCCCATCAATGCAGACAACGTAAACACCACAACGTACCCACTCAAGTTGTTATTGGTCTTGTAGACCTCTGCGGCTTGAAACCTTTTCCACAAATTAAAATAGTTGGATTTGGCCGAAATATGTTTGAATTGTTACCTTGTTTCGTTTTGTCGCTGTGTGAACATCCGATTGCACTTCTTAACGTTATGACAGGACAGACAGACTGTCAACAACGTTTGAACATGGCCGTGACGTCCCATTGACTAGGGTTAGAGTAGCTTCCCTTTGACAAGGGGCAGTTACTCTAGCGGACAGACCGATGGATTGCCGCGAAATTCAAGTAAAAAACAATTGTTGTTTTGCGTATATGTTGCTTCGCCACTGTATAAGAAACAGATTTCAGTTGGAACAATATTGGCTACTGTCACTGTCAGACTGACACATCACTTACCCACTCAAGTCGTTATTGGTCAGGTCGAGCCTCTGTAGCCCCTGGAGTAATGTGATCTCATCGGGCAGCACTGCAATCTTGTTGTCTCGGAGGTCCAGGATGTTGATGGTCGTCAGATGCTGTAGATGTTCGGCTGTCAAACCCTTGATATCGTTGTTCCCTACATGCAGTTCCTGGCAACAGATTTAGTCTGGTGTGAACAATCACAGAAGACAGAGATACAAATACCCATCTGAGGCAATTAAGAAGATCTGGACTAGAAATAATAATTAAACAAATTAATAGAAATCATCATTACTGACTTTATTCTTTTGAACTGGGATTCGAACCCATGGTCATAGGTTTCTGGGTCACCCAAGGGATGCAACTCTGCACAGCAAACTGGTGTTTTAGAAGTCATGAGGGCTGACCTTGAGGTTAACGCAGTTCTCTAGCACAGGGAGGTAAGGAAGCTTGTTGTGACGGAGATACAGCTGTTCGAGGTGACGCAGGTTCCCGAACTCATCCGGCAGGCGGACCAGCTGATTGTGTGTGGCTTCAAAATACTTCAACCCTGAAGCAATATTTCTTGTCTTCAGTTTGGACATAATCTAATGCACATGACACGGCAGCTTGCACTGCCAGTGTATTTAGAACTGGTTTGCGTATACAAATGCAGAGATAGAAATCAGTTTTGTTATGTCAAAGGTATCCTACAGGCTTTATAGTTTCAAAAGTTTGGGGGGCTTGGGTTTGTGTGTGTTGATAGTGGGTGGTGGGTGGGGCAGTATTGCCACATGTTTTCAATATTCGGGCTACGAGATGTTTTTGATTTATTTCCATCCCGGCGTATGTTTTGGCTATTTCTGTATGCACTGTAATAAGCGCTTAGAATTGATAGGGGGGTGGGGGGGGGGAGGGGCATTTATTAACACAACACACAAGTCAAATTTGTTTTCAGAGTGGTAGTGAACAAGCTTAGTTCAAACGTTGGTGAAACTACGACTTTTTCTGTAATAGTTACTTGGCAATACTATTCTCTTTCTTTGTAAGAAATCTGTAACATACACAATGATATACAGACTGTCATTCTCAGTAGGGGGCATTTCATCCTCCCGAGGCAAGGGAGGTTACTGACCATAAAAGTCCACCCTTCCCAAACTAGGTTGGAACTATGGCATTATATTTTAGCTGGACTAACGAGTCTATGCATAGTCCAATCAAAATTGCGAAACAAAATCGACATCGGGTTCATTAACAACATGGGGACTGCCGGGCAGATTGTCGGTCGATTGCAGGTTTCGCAAAGCATGTGTACTGTCAACGGGGCATCGACAGATGTTTTCCACACGTTTTCATGTCATTAGTCAAGGTGCTCAAGTGATTTGATGTTCTTCACAAGGTAAGACCCATTTTATAACAATAAGGATCTTGATTATAGATCAGATCATCTGGATTGTGTGCCGCCATTTTGTTTGAAGCCAATGCAAGTGAAAGGGGAGGTAGAATCTGATTGGTCAATAGGAGGAACATAGAAGGAACATACCTCATAACTGCCACTGGTTGCGCTACAATCAAGCCATGAAATTACCACCTCATTCTGCAAGGCTGGAAACTGGACTTTTATAGTTAGTTAACTCCCTTGCCTCGGGAAGATGGGGGCATTTACAAAGACTATACTTACAAACTGATGTAGAATTTGGTCAGGGGCATTCTTTGAGCAAAGAGCTTATAATATGGTAAATACGGTAATTGTACCTAGTATTTCAAAGATGAAGAATTTATAACAAAACTTTCAGGTTGTGTTAACTTAATAGAGATTTACCATCCATACAGCCGATGTCTGGAGGTAGGTTTGTCAGCTTGTTCTGCGACACATTGAGACGCAGAAGGCGACTAAGATGGCCGATGGAACGAGGCAGTGTCATCAGTTGATTGTTGGACACATCCTGCAAGTACATTCTTAGAAATACAGAAATAGACTTTTTATTAAACATGAGGTGCCTGAGAAACAACAATGTATCTGTTTAACTAGACTAGGAGCTCATCTTAATTTGTGTTTTTTTAATTAAATGAATAAGGAAGTCTGCACATTTAAGAGAAACAATTCACAACAATATTACCACCTTGGTTATTCTATTCTTATTGTCTTCTAAATACAGGTACTGTAACATGTACTTATTGAACATGAAACTGAACTGAACATGGTACTGTTGGGACTTTGCTTCCTCTCACCATAACAAACGAATATTTTATGATAAAAATATCATTTATTCTTATCCTGACTCATACAAATTTGCTTATCTCTGCATATTCACAACATCTCACCCAAACGCGCCCCTCTCAGACACAAGTGCCCCAAACACGTGACCAACAATCTGATTCACCACTCCTTATTCTATGGGATGAGTGAATATCCAAAGAGCCAAAAGAGAAAAATCCCTTGACAAAATTAAAAAATAAGCATTGCATATGATGAAGGAATGTTTCAGAAAGGAAACCCAAATCAAAATTTTAATCAGAAAAGCATAGATGAGTAAAGATGGTTTGGATTACCAGAGCACAAGAAAAATTCCCAACCAGATAGCTTGGGCGAAACTAAGTGTGTGATGAGTTAGACTGTTTGGTCACGTGTTTCCGGCGTGCTTGCACATGAGAGGGTCGCGTTTGGGTGAGGAGTTTCTAGTTCACTGGGAACACTGCACAAAAATAAGAGGATAGTGTTTTTTTCACACTAAAAGACCCACTAGCAACTTTTCCAATGCAAAGGTTGGACAAAAGTGAAAGAGATTACAAGTCTGTGTCAGAAAAAATATCATTTGTTTTGTTACTTAAACATAACAGTTGATGTGTTCACACTGGTGCTTGTTCATATTTGTATGCTGAGTGAGCAAGAGCTGCATCCGAAAAGTTCCAGATTTATCAAGTGTTTATCATATCGCCCTGGAATAGATCAAGTCTGCGAACTCTAATGTTCTCCCCGAGGCAAGGGAGTTAACAGATTATAAAAGTCTAGTTCCCAGCCTTGCCGAACTAGGCTTGAATTATGGAGTTACATTTTGGCTTGACTAACGAGTCCATGCAAAGTCCAATCAAAATCGCATAACGAAATCGACATCCGGTTCATAAACATCGCGGTGAGTGCAGTCGATTGCAGGATTTGCAGAGATTGTGTACCATCAATTGGTGCCGTCGACAGATACTTTCCAAATCTGTTCATGTTTTTAATCAAGGTGCTCAAGTGATTTGATTCACATCGCGAGACCCATTTTAGTACAAAAAAGATCTTGTTTATCGATCAGATTGTCTTGACTGGGCACCGCCAGTTTGTTTGAAGCAAATGCAACTAATATCTGATGCGGAATCTGATTGGTCAATTTAAGCAACATAGACGCGTCATAACTCGTAATAGCCACTGGAGCCACGAAATTCCAGCCAAGTTCTGCAAGGATGGAAAATGAGCTTTTACAGTCAGTTAACTGCCTTGCCTCGGGAAGACGGTCTGTGACAGGCAAACCAGTGATTGAGAGTATGAGCAATGTCAAATGCTGATGGTACGATGACACACAATCAGTCAAGCCTGACCACTCGATAACCATTTCAGTCATCTCCTAAGACAAGCATGAAATCCTGAGAACATACTCTGACCCACAATCCACACTATTAAATAAAAACTCTTACCAAATCCTCCAGTTTGTGTAGGTATTTGATCTCATCACAAAGTTCTGTGACTTCATTGTGCTCTATATGTAGGCTGACCAGGCTCTTCAACTGGCACACACACAGAGGCAGGGTCTTCAGCTTGTTACGACTGAAATGCAGGGATTCAGAGAAGTTTAGTTTCCACAAGACAGACTTATTGTCATCCAAAATGTCAAGATTTTACAAAAGTTGAAAGAATCCTGAAAATATCCAAAAGCTATTTGTCTCTAGCAAAATCACTGACATGGGCAAATACTTTAAAACCACACAATGATGACAATGGTGAAAAAAATTACAGATGCATTGATGCACAAGCCAGGGCATACATCGTACGGGGGCACGGGTGGCAAAGTTGCGTCCCTTGGGCATGCCTGGAACCTATTATCATTGGTTCGAATCCTGGTTTGCCCCGATTATGTTTCTAGGTTTGTCAGCACTATACCCATGCTCGTGGGTTTCATCAAAGTAGAAAACGTCTGAGGCCTGCATCACTTATTGCATTCCTCCCACATTACACCAGAGACCATATAATAGATATTATATGGTCTCTGATTACACTGACACGCTGTGATATTAAAAGGAATACTGTTTAATTCGTTCATACTGTTCATACATTGTAAATGTTGTAGGTGAAGTTGAAATGGGGTTTCACATTGCATTCAAGTGTATTGCATTTATATAGGAACTACATGCACATGTGTGTGTGCTGCTTGTACTAGTCCAGACTTATGCCGGTGTTACAGTGCTCGCCCACTGGGTTACCATGCAGTTTAACATGGACATCCCACTCACACACATGATACTGACGGAGTTGGCCAGTCTTTGTCTTATCCCCTTCATGATGACTGCCAGGCAGGGTAAGAACAAGTGCCATCTTTTAATGTCTTTTGGTATGACAGCCAGGGGATCAAACCACCGACCTTCCACTCTCCGGGCAGACACAATATCCACTACATCAATCATTGTAACCTTTGTCTCTTCACTTAGCCTGACAATAATGGCTTGGATGAGTCAAAATTTATTACCTGGGTACCCAACCCCCTATTACCCGACCCTACCCTGTAGGACCCGTGAGATAGGTACAAAATGTCAAATAAGGAAACGTTTGACTGTACTCCGTTGCAAACCGTATTTAGATACACGTATAAAACGATCTGGTCATGCATACACTGAAGTTGACTTAAATTTTATCTTTATGCAAACATATTAATTTAGAAGGAATGTGTGCATAGTCAGAAAGAAATGTAAACATTTGTCACTTAAAGTGTAACCATAGAATCCTAGATCATTTTTGCCATTTAACAATATAATCATGTGCCTAACCACGGGTACTAACCCAGGTGCTACTTAGCACCCACCTGGCCCGAGTACCCGAGTTACTTATCCCAGCCCTACTGACAACTAATATGAGCTACTGGAAAGCTATTCTGCCTATCCTGTACCTGACGTCAAGCTTTGTGAGGCACTCCAGCTGACCCAAGGCCTGAGGTAAAGACTCCAATCTGTTGTCATGGACCTGAAAATACAGGACATCTCTCCTCATTAGTTTTAGTGTTGTTTCATCCACAACAGTGACTTTATTTGGTATAACATGAACAGAAAATTAAACAAAATATGTATCAGAGCTCCAGATAAGCTTTTGGTGTTGTGGGTATTTTACCCATGCATTTTAAAATCATTGGGTATCAGTAATTCTATTTGGGTATTCAAATTTCTGTTACCCACTAGTTTGTACACATGTGGGTATTTAAGTTAAATATTTAAAAACACTATTCATCTAGTCCCTGCAAAGTGGTGTCGTATGGGTTTCAAGAGCTTTATAGGACGTTACAACGATACTTCCACAAGAAAGTGTGATGGCAAATGATCATGATGTAACTGTCATCATGGAGTTTGGCAAGGTTGAAGGAATGCCCGTTTAAAATTTCAAAATAAGTTGCTGATTTGCTAATCGAATACGCAGGGTTACTTCACAATATTTTGATGATATGCACAAGTATTATTTTTGTAGCATATCTGTAATGTTCGTTGCGTATTTGATACGCTTGGATTTTATTTTACTGCACATTTCTGCATTTCTGGAGCGTATTTTACGCAGATACGCAGCTTATCTGGAGCTCTGTATGTATCATAATTTAAATAGGTAAATGCAGACACAGACAGACTGACACACACATACAAGCACACACACTCTCACGCACTCTCACACTCGCTCGCACACACACACGCAGACACACACAGACAGACAGACAGACAGACAGACAGACAGAAACACTGCAGTGTTTATTCATAGGAAGTCTGTGTCTGTGACTCCTTACATCGAGTACGGTGAGAGCGGGGAAGTTGACAATGCCCTCGGAGAGTTCTGTCAGGAGGTTGGACACAAGGAGCAGCTTCGTGAGGTCCACCTGTTCCCACCACCGGTCCTCCGAGTTGTCCAGAGACACATTCTTAGCTTCCTCCGGAACATCCAGGTTCAGTCTCCATACTTTGTCCGGGACTGGAAACAAGTAAACATTAGGCTGGGAGGTTTTAATCAACATTGATCAAGCAGATAGGCAAGGGAGATAACTCTGCAGTACACACAAATAAACATGGTATAATTTTACTCATGAAAGGGGCCGTCATTTTACGTGCTCTGGCACAGTCAAGGAACTATGTACGTGGAAAATAACCTATCAGATCCCTCAGATGTCCTAGACTTGGTGCCATTGGTAACAAAGGTTGATTTCCTTTCTTGTTTTGTAGTTTATCAACTATTTGAAATATTGCAGCAGATGACAAAGTTCAGAATATTTTTATCATATGCCTTCATCACAGTGATACTACTCCCCACTATTGAATTTTACTTTAACTTAATGTGACCATGGATCAATGACTGAGGATCGGGGGATGCTGCCAAGGGAAGAGACCTCTAGATGTACATTGAGTTGGCCGTCATTCATCAACAAATTTCAGCTCAGTTAACTTTTATTTGGTAGTGGATATTGTAATGTAGTTAGTTTATATATGAGTAGTTTAACACCACACTGAGCCATATTCCCATCTAAAATAGAAAAGTCCATTAATAATTAAGTCTGGATCAGACAAACCAGCGACTAGAATTGTAACAATGACCCACGTTGGGCACCTTGACAATCAACCAAGTCACGAAGACTGAGCACCCAATTCAAAAAGACCTAACTATTGGCACTGTACATCATTCATATTGTTCAATGTTCTGTGTTCTGACAGGGAGGTCGAGGGACTAATTTGCCACTGATGAAGTGCTTTTTAATGGACCAGCATGGTTAGAGGACATTCTAACATACCCAAGAAGATTTGTTTAAATTCCAAATGAACATGTTCTGTACTTGTGAGGATATTTGCTTATGACCATGACATTGAATACAGATACAGATGAGGTGAGGTGAGGTGAGGTGAGGTGAGGTGAAATTGGGTTTAACGTCGCGTCCAAGATTATTGCACTTGTGTGCACGTGTGTGTGTGTGTGAGAGTGTGTGGCTGCTTGTACTAGTCCGGACGGATGCCGATTTATAGTGCTAGCTCACATAGATACCATGCCAGAGTTTAACATGAATACCCCACTCTGACACAGTTTTCTGACTCTGAGCCGACCAGTCTTTGTTTCAGCCACTAATGCCAAGCACCAGACAGGGTAACAACAAGTACCATCTTTTAACATCTTTTGGTATGATGCGGACGGGTATTGAACCCCGGACCTTCCGTTCTCTGGGCAGACGCTCTACCACTACACCACGGAGGCTGTCTCATGCATTTGTGGTTTTATTACATACAGTGCGACATGATTTTTGACAAAAATGGAAACGGACAATTTTTAGAGAGGACTTAGACTTCTACAGCATGTAGTGTGAGTACAAAGACACAGAATTTGGAAAAGTTAGGCACTTTTCAATGTTGATGCATTGAGGACCCTAAAAAAATTATTTAAAAAAAATTAATTCTTTATTTCCAAAATAATGTGGATTTGATAGTAATATTGTACACTGCAGTGAAGAGACCAAATAATTTTTAAACCTAAGAAAGTTTATCTTGCAATGGTCTCTTTAAAGGTATTGGTGTTAAATAAGTTACTTTGTATTTTGTGAGCACCTGTAACTCTACTTTCGTATTGAAAGGGATAAATGTCACACCTGTTTCAAGACCTCTGCCTGAGAGATTGAGCTGTCCACTTTGCCGCGCCTGTTTCAAAATCTGTGCGTGAACACCTTCGCGTGACTCATTTCCTTGCTGCTTACGAAATCCCGCCTTTGTGTCAAATGGAACTCTTTTGCCCCTTCCTCTAGTTGCCATTTTAATTCAAGAGTCACAGAACAAGCACCTGTTCAGCGATTCATTTCCTTTCCAACTTGGTTAATTTTGACAACTTACTGATCCTAATAGCATTCTAAGAATGATCCAAGGGAAGTGACTCCCATTATGTGAAGTAAGTAAATCTGAGTTGTCTTTTCTTTCAAGCACCCGTAAAATACCTAGTTAGCCATTCATTGATATCATAGCGTCACAAAATTCCTGTGCGTCTGTCATGTTTATTGCCAATAAAAATATTTGTCAGATTCCCCTCGTCATGTGAAGCACACAATATTACCCATGTTTGACAGCTGAAGAGCACTGAATGTGTGTAGTGTTAGCGCCCACTATAATCTGATTTTCATCAAGTTGCAGTTGCTACTATGCTTGGTAGGAAAACTATATAAAGTGTCGTCAAACCACTGCAATTTGCTGTGCAGAGTTGGGCACGCCAGAAATAACCATGATTGTGGGTGCGAATCCAGGTTCGCCCCATTATGTTTCTAGGTTTGTCAGCACCATACCCGTGCTCGTTGGTTTCACCAAAGCGGTAAACATTTGAGACCTGCATCAGTTCGGACTTTCCCCTACATATTAAGCTGGCACGCAGTGGTATAACTGTAATTCTGTTAAAGCGGCGTTAAACCATCTCACTCACTCACACTTTTGAGAACATAGTTTGCGAGAAACATTTAATTTGTTTTATGCAGCCTTAGTTTTGCACCATGACTTGAATATCTGTATTTAACGTTATCAAAACCAATCTTGATCGTAAATTTAAGCACATCAAGCCTGCTCTATTCCCCGAAATCAACTTTAGAACAAAGAGAGAGTAAGAGATTCCATAGACTATATGTCAATGTAGTCATGAGTATACTGTGATGACCTATTGAACGATTGTATTCCCTTTTCATACCGTGTTTCTATTCTACATTCAGCGTATCATACTTGACAAGTGGACAAGTGCATAGAGTGAGGCGACAAATAAGTGATGTGGCATGACACTTGTGTCACATATAGACGTATCTTGTACCCGCCATCATCCTAAAGCACTGGTTCCAAATTTAAATACGACGTATCTACTCTACAGTGGGACTAATTTCGAAACACGGTAGGTTTATCTCTTAAATGTCGGTAAAATTAATATCGGGCGGGCAGATCAACACATTGATGGCATACTGCTGATTAACTAGCTTATGGTTGCCCTTGGTATTGTGGTGGTTTCATCTTGGGGTATCATCTCTTGATCGGGCACCACCTTCAAAGAAACCAAACAAAGTATCTATGGCCAGCTCCTTTATTAGGGATATCTCAACAGTGAGGTATATATATATAAATATATACTCTAGACACCTTGAATGGTCACGAATTTACTGCATGTTTAACTATCTGCTTGTAGAGGGGATGTCCGAGTAACTCTCCATTCCTTAAAAATAATGGAGCAGAGGCCCCGCAGGGGCCGAGGCCCATTATTTTTAAGGAATGGAGAACTTGTTTGATAGGCATTACTTAGAAGTTGGCGGATGACAAGATAGACACAATTTTATGGATAACAACTTTTTACAGTATTAAAGAAGTTGTTATCCATAAAATTGTGTCTATCTTGTCAAGGAATGGAGAGTTACGAGGATATTCCCCTACTTAAAACTCATCTCTACTTTTACACTTTGGCAAAATATTCTGTAGTTGAAAATATTTGAAAAATTCAAATGCTGCTTCAAGATAATGTACAGTTGACAAGCAACTCTCCATTAAAAAATAATGGAGCGTTCAAACAATAGAATGACGTCACAGATGTGTTTTTAAGATAAGATAATTTGCGTTCGTGCGCCGAGAAAATGGATGGAGCGGCTTTCCTTCGAAGTTTGGTCAAGTGGTCTCCTCAGAAGTTGAATACTAATTGATGAGGATTCCGAAAATATTTATATAAGTTAGGCGTATCAGCAAACGTGCCAAGCGGTCATTGGGCCACGCTCCAAGGATGTTATACAATTTTCTAGATAGCAGCGACCTTCACATGTGAGACTGACTGAATACAGCAATTAACGTTTACCTACATGTAACACAATAAAGACTATCACCACAGTTAACTTTCATATATATATTGAAGAAAATATCACTAATTTTAGAACCATGACAGTATTGCCCGCCCTTCCGCCTGAAGAGCTACACAAACCTGGGACACGTTGGCGGGTGCTGGGTCTCTTCATCCGAGAAAATTCCACAGACGCCCTATTGGGGATATGTCAGTGGGCCAGTCCAGTGTCGCCAGTGGGCCAGTCCAGTGTCCGTATGCCTTCTCGTCGGAGATAATCGGAGACGATCTGGACATGCTGTGGTCCGGCATTGCCATCTTGCAGATCAAAATTTCTGCCTATAATTTTATTTAATATAATTTAATTATATTATGGATCAACGTCAGGACGCAAATTTTCGTCAACATATCGCTGGCCAGTCAAATGTCCATTCACAATAAAGAACTCGACCCTGAAGATCCTGGTTTGAACGCAGCAACCCATGGTTGTGGTAAGAGGCAAGGTTAACTAACTCTCTTGCATCGGGAAGATGCGCATGAGGAGACGGTGCTTGTCGCAAGATGCGACTAACAGGATCGGATGCTGAGACATACTGACTTGGTTGATGCATGTGACCCTATCCCAATTGCGTAGATCGCAAGGTCGGCAACACAATCTATTGTTTATGTGACCAACGTCTGCAACACGTTCTATTGTTTATGTGACCAACGTCTGCAACTTTCTATTGTTTGTATGACCAACGTCTGCAACACGTTCTATTGTTTGTATGACCAACGTCTGCAACACGTTCTATTGTTTGTGTGACCAACATCTGCAACACATTCTATTGTTTGTGTGACCAAGTCTACAACACGTTCTATTGTTTGTGTGACCAACGTCTGCAACACGTTCTATTGTTTGTGTGACCAACGTCTGCAACACGTTCTATTGTTTGTATGACCAACGTCTGCAACACATTCTATTGTTTGTATGACCAACCTCTGCAACACGTTCTATTGTGTAGGTGACCAAGTCTGCAACACGTTCTATTGTTTGTGTGACCAACGTCTGCAACACGTTCTATTGTGTAGGTGACCAAAGTCTGCAACACGTTCTATTGTGTAGGTGACCAAGTCTGCAACACTTTCTATTGTGTAGGTGACCAAGTCTGCAACACTTTCTATTGTGTAGGTGACCAAGTCTGCAACGCGTTCTATTGTGTAGGTGACCAAGTCTGCAACACTTTCTATTGTTTGTGTGACCAACGTCTGCAACACATTCTATTGTTTGTGTGACCAACGTCTGCAACACATTCTATTGTTTGTGTGACCAAAGTCTGCAACACGTTCTATTGTTTGTGTGACCAACGTCTGCAACACGTTGTATTGTGTAGGTGACCAAGTCTGCAACACATTCTATTGTGTAGGTGACCAAGTCTGCAACACGTTCTATTGTTTATGTGACCAACCTCTGCAACACGTTCTATATATATATGTGACCAATGTCTGCACCACTGTCTTTTGGTTAAGTGTCCAACGTCTGTAACACATTCTTTTGTTTAGATGACAAACATCTGCAACAAGTTCTCTGGTTTGTGTGAAAAGCTGTATAAAATCCAACTCACTCTAATTCATTCACTCACTCAACTCACTGGAATATTTAACCTGTTGAATGATCATTGAACACATCTTTGATTACGTATTTGACTTAACATTTATATACATTGCTGCCCATCAGTTGATGCAAACTTCAAGCACTCAAATCCACATTGTGTTCATGGACCCATCGGAATGCTGACTCTGTGAAGTCCAATAGGAACATCATTGAGGATATTGCATACTGTTTCAGCATATCGGCCAATGATGAATAGTGTAATGGATTCAACTTGAAACACTTTCATTTACATCACAGCATGTCAGGTTAATGAGGGAGAATGGTCAAAGGAAGGGTTTCAAATAAATTCTTATTTTCACCAGTCTGCAAACAAGCTGCTGCAGAGCTGCCATCTACCTGATGGTAAAAGAAGTAGCCCATTAGAAATGTCATGGGTCTTTCCAGAATTTTACTGGCCTCGAACTGCTGGACTAATTAATTCCGAACCCTTTAAAGTTATACAAGTCAAAGGCACATGATTATGGATATGGTACTAACAAACCAATGATCATTATCATATTAAAACCCCTGAGTGGCAGATTCTTCCATAACAAGGGGATGCAACTCTGACCTGCAATATTTTGGAGCCATAGACCACAGGGCCACAAATGTCTAGTCAGTGATGAATAATCTACATGCCATTAGGCCATATCATTTATGACAAACAATGATGGTCAAGTCATCAACATCGACCATCCCGACTTGCCACCACACACTCCAAGTCTCACATCTCTACTGATCTGGAACCGTTTCTTCCATTTTCACTGTGCTATTGTCCACACAGTATGCATGGTCACTTCTCACCATGGTCAAAACTTGACTATGGCCATGGGATTGATAATTTTCCACACTTTGTGGTGTTCTTTCCACAATTCTTTTGTCTCTGCAGGAATATGCATGATCATAATTATCGAAATATCTACTTTTCAATCTTCCTTTTTTCAGTATTTTCCTATTGTCTGCAGTTTTGTCTCGACAAAGATATGTATGATCATTTATCACCGTTTCCATAATTTCTAAACGTTTCTCCAGACAGTGAGGTGTGTTATCATGGTCTTGATAACAATATGTGTGATAGCTGTTATCCATTTGCACACTTTCTGGAGTTTCATCTTGAAAGTAACAATGATCACCAAGGACAAAAGGTAGTTTCTTACCATGCTTCTTTTTAGATGAAAAAGATTCTGGTGAAATGTCCCATTTTAAAACTGTCTTATTTTCTGAAGAGTTTTCTGTCGATTGGCTGTCCTTGTCATCCTCCATGTCAACATCCTTGCCAGGATGAAGCTTTTTAGATGGGGTAATTTCTGGTGAAACAGTTGGTGAAATGTCCCATGTTAAAACCATATTTTTTTCTGAAGACTTTTCTTCTGATTGGCTGTCCTTGTCATCCTCCATGTCAACATCCTTGCCAGGATGAAGCTTTTCAGATGGGGTAATTTCTGGTGAAACGGTTGGTGAAATGTCCCATGTTAAAACTATATTTTTTTCTGAAGGATTTTCTTCTGATTGGCTGTCCTTGTCATCGTCCATGTCAACATCCTTGCCAGGATGAAGCTTTTTAGATGGGGTAATTTCTGGTGAAACAGTTGGTGAAATGTCCCATGTTAAAACTATATTTTTTTCTGAAGACTTTTCTTCTGATTGGCTGTCCTTGTCATCTTCCATGCCAACATCTTTGCCAGTATGGAGTCTAGTCCCCAAGAAGGAAATTGTCTTATGAAGAGTATTAACACTGACCTGGGGGGCAGACCAACTGTTATCACCTGGTCCTGCTGGAGTGTCAACATCCATCACATCATGAGAAGGTCCAGCGCATCTCTGCAGAGTCTCCAGAGGCAGGGGTGTTGACTGATTGAAGTTGACAGAGTCCGTTGATCTGCTGCAGGAGGAGACACTATCCAGACCTGTCCGACTGATCACAGCCCTATCAACAGAACAGCTGCCAAGTTCATCTTGGTGACTGTAGTTATTGCTTGACATTGACAGGTCATCACCAAAGGAACCGCTAATTTGCATATCCAAATGAATTGAGCCTCTTTTTTGCCTATCCTCAATGTTGGTGAGCACATCTTCGGTGTTTGAGTCATCAATGTCTTCTGCTACTGCGTCTACACCTGCATCTGATTCTGCATCTGATGATTCTGATTCTAAAGACTCCTCCTCACTCTGTGGTTCAGGAAGTTGGAATGGATCACGGATGTCCTTCATATCCACATCAGCAGAATCACCCTCACCAGCCACATAGAACTGGCTGAGGACATCACACACCACTACCACATCCTTCACTCCCTTTGACATCAACCAGGAGTCTGAGCTCTTCAGATTGCTCTGAACATGCTGAAGGATGAAGTACCTTGACTTTAGACGGTTAATTTTTTCTAAAAAGAAACTAAGCGTCTGGTACTTTGGGTCAGGAAGGTCGATCAAGGGTGAAAGACAGCAATACATTAAATTAAACCATTGTGTCACTGCTGTACAAAGTTTAGCAGTTGTGATTACGGTTTGGTAAGCAATGTCCTTCATCTTGATCCCCAGTCTGAGTTTTATCAAGGTGAGAACGAACAACTCGAAGGGGTCAGGGCCTTGTTGGGTGCGCTGACACATGTGAGGTAATAAAGAATCAAACAGTCCCATCAAAGTCTCAAAATTAGAAAACCCAGTGTAAAACTGCACCTTTTCTTGGTTACTTTGAAAGGAATCCATTGTGTACGACCTTGCAACGACCTTGTCATGGAGTTGTAGCATCTCCTCTACCAAAGTTAGTCTTTCTGCTTCCATCATCACCTGAGCTTTGCAACCTCTCCCGTCAGTCTGGGTAGAAACATCTTTCAAACATTTTCTCCTTTTGACAACATTTTGTCCAAAAACAACACGATATTCATATTTATAAACTGGGTTTGAAGAAGTGTCAATGCATGTCTGACTGGAGCAAAGCATTGCATTTGATGATATGGTATACGACTTTGAGATATGAATCTCCATCGGTCTGTTCAGACCATTATGATGGTATGCATGATCCATCGCCGATGTGTACTGAATCTGATCACAATCCGGTCCTATCTCCTTCACTGTTAATATTTTCCCACTTTCTTCTCCAGCACATGCTGATGTGTTCGTCTCTTCTCTCTGGCCAGCATGATCATAATCTGTCTGTGCACATTTATCCATACCATTTTCCATTACACTAAATGGAGGTTCATTTCCAGTTTGAAAACTATCTGAATTTTTTAGAATTAGTCCACATGCACTTATAGCTTCAGTTGAATCAGCTGCTGCTGATACAGATTTGTCCACAGATGATGCTTCATCCTCAACTTCTCTGACAGAGTTTTTAGTATATCCAGCACAAGCTTCTACCTGTGAAGACCCTTCCTGAACAGTTGCCAAACTTTTCATGCCTTCTACAAGTCTAACATTGGATAACTCCTCTGGACTGTTATTGTAAGGAGCATCTACATATGCATCAACTTGAATACACTTATCTTTCTTCACCGGTATGACAGGCACTTTTAGTTTCGGAGTCTCATTCGTATTATCAAGTAAACTGACGTACTGGTATATGCCATCCTTCATTGAGGCTCTGATGTCCTGCCCAGCTTGAGTTGGAGGAGTAGTAGACACATATTTGACAGGGCGGGACAGACGAACCACCATTTTCCTCTGACCGAATCCTCTATCAAGGACAAGAAACTCCTCTGGTGCCTTCTGATTTGTAGGTGAATGCATAAAATTTAACAGACTATAGTCTTTTGGGGGCTGTGGTTGTGTAAGAGTGTTGGTCAAAGGGTTTGGTGTGTGTGTTTGGATGGGGTTGTGTGATTTGGGACTTGTATCATCCGAGAACAACTTGTCGATGGAGTCTTGTTTCCATCCCTTTTCCAGCCACAATTGATTCACAGCATGAAGATCATTGGAAGCCGCTGACAGAGATTTTTCTTGCTTTTTCCGAAACCTAGGAATATGAACAGATATTGGTTAAAATGTTTTAAACATGTTGCAAAACACAGTGATGTTTTATTAAGGCAATGACACATCATATCAACACAATAATAATGCAATATCTAATTTCAAAGATTTTAAATATCAATATCCATATTACAGTGGGAAATCATATGCCATTTACTACCCAAAAAATTATAAGCCAACAATTTACAAACCTCATTAAAATCAGACTTTTTACTCTGATATGAACATGATGATGTCATAATTCATTTAGATCTGACAATCTCTTTTGACAACTGCGCCAGGTGACTCCTCAGTTTAAATGACGTAAACAAGGATTCTTGTGCCAAACAGATGTCAACTCTCTAAAATGATTCTGCTTCCTGTCTTTACTACCTAGATTCAGAATTGTTTATCCTTAACAAAGAAAACCTACACAAAACACAAACATCCCCTCATTGTGTTTACTTTGGATGTTAGATGCTAGAATTATAGATGTATATAAATTATCCAATAGATTGATGTTGACATGTTTAATTCCATTTTGAACAGTCCATTTTTGTATGTTTTCAAGAAACAGAAATCAGATATGCTACTCTGAATGGTTTTACAGAGAATTTAGGAGGCTTGACTAACTGGATGATTATAAGGTTCTCCTGATGCAACCTCCTATGGAAGGAGTAAATGTAAGATTTAAATGAGACTGTACTGCTTTCCCAATGTACTACAGGTGATATTTCCACCAACAAACTCACAAGGTGTATTGGTCCTTGAGAAGCTGATGTTCTTGAGTAGTTGTTGTTGGGAAGAGAGATGGAACATGGTCTGGATGGGTGGGATCAGTGCTCCTCATTCCTGAAAATCAACAAGGGATAGAAAAAAAATTCAAGTCTGACAAGAGTGAGTGAGTGAGTTTGATTTTACACCATTTCAGCAATAATCCAGCAATATCACGGCGGGGGACACCAGAAATGGGCTTCACACATTGTACCCATGTCGGGAATCAAACCCGGGTCTTTGGTGTGACGAGCAAACGCTTTAACTACTAGGCTACCCGACCACCCCAGTGTGACACAGAGCACCCCTGAAAATGCTAAAGTGTACCAACAAGAAGGGTTCTTTTGTCTATATCAAAAATTGGTGATGTCATTTCACAATGAGGTAGATAATAAGAAAATGTAATTTAGAATATTTGCCTACTCCCTTTCATTAAGGATGTTGAGATTGGTAATGTCTTCTTCAATTCAGGAATCCGAGTGAGTGAGTGAGTGAGTGAGTGAGTGAGTGAGTTTCCACTTCTCCTCTGGATATAACAAAATGAATGGTGTCATTTACTGGATTGTCTGGTCCTGACTCAATTATTTACAGATTGCCGTCATATAGCTGGAATATTGCTGAGTGTGGCTAAAACAACAAACAAACAAACAAAACAACTTCAGGATGCACATTTTGGCAGTGAGCTAAAGTGCCTTGGACCACCAGGCTACCTGTGCCACATGGCTTCTACTAATAATTACTCTGAATACAACAGGAGCGAGTAAGTGTTTGGTTTTACGCCGCATTTAGAAATATTCCAGCAATTTCACGCTAGAATTGGGCTTCACATATTATACCATGTGGGGAATCGAACCCTAGCCTAAGGCGTGAAGAGTGAACATTTTGACCACTAGGCTACCCCATCGACCCTATGAACCCCACACTAACTGCATGTATCACACTGTTCATTAGTGATGGCTATTGGAGGTTTAAAGTGTATCACAACATTTTGCAATGCACAAGGCCGTATTGCGATACACATCACGATATATATTGTATAATTCTAAATTTTAATACTTTAAGGTATTAATTGAAGTTCATAAACTGAATAAAACAAGATACTGGTACAACATAATGTTAACACTGTCGATATACATGATATATAGGCTGTTTAAAATCACCTGATATATCAAGCATGAAATAATAATAATGTGATACATATCGTGGAAAGAATTAACCTCAATTTACCGATATTTCTGTAAAACCGTACAGTCGGCTTGTGCCATCTATCACTGGCTCCATATAATAACAATGTCACTTCAGCTTGATAAGGGTGTTGGAATCAACATCAAAACTGTTTACATATCAAGCTAAATGCAATAAACCAGAAGTTGTTATCAAGAAAGTTGCATGTTTTCCGAATACTCTACTTCTCATCAGTCCCTCAACCACAAGTGCTGTCTGGATGGCCACTCTACACATCAGCAACCAAGGAACAAATCGGAAAATCGGATCAATTAGTGTCGCAGCATCTGATACAGTTAATAATGGCTTACATATAGTGTGTAATTTTTTGGTGTACGCTCTTGGGTGGACCACCCACACACAATGAAGTTACAAATGGCCCAAGGAAAACTCCTTTTTCTAAAATATTTTTTTTAGCATCTTCATTCTGTATGTTAAAAAACCCAGCACATAATATTGTGTAAATAAACCCATTACCTTCACGTACTTGAAAACTAAAAAGTCACAGCCTCAATAAAAAATATTTCGACCTCAATATGGCTGTCCTCATCAATACAGTTTTTCGTGAGCAAAGCCGTAATCTTTGACATAGAGACATGGGTACGAGAGACAGTATGCCTGTAACACTTATGAATAAATAATCATTTCAACCCTTCCATTTCAAAAGGCCATATCATGCAAGTCGTATATTTCAGTGAATTGTGAGGAAAATTTAAAATCTTTCCAAAGGTTGAATTTGAAATGTGACTGGAATAAATCTCAGAACTCTTATAGAATCTACAAAGAAATAACACTTTGCCCCTAAAAACGGAATAGAGGGGGGTCTAAATATCAAATGTCCGTCCTTTTACACAGGCTGTTATCCGGTGGCGCCTCCTGCCTCTTGCTTCACCTTGTTACTGTGGTAGATAGTAGTTCTGTATATATCAATCATGTTTTATTAATTAGCTTTTAATTTACTATGTATGTTGTCAATAATGGTATTTTGTATATTTCAGATATTGCAGTAATCAAGAATTATTTATTGTATTTCTCATTTCAGGCTGCATACTTAAGTAGTTGTTAGTCAAGTATTATCATTAAAGCCCTATTCTAATGTCATGTTTTACTTAGTGGGTCAGTCAACTGCTTGGTGGTCAATCAGAGTGTAAGCCCAGGCGTCCTCTGGATTGGCTAGTTTTAAATCTCTGTGTCCCACTTTCAAACCCCTTTGTTTTCACCCTGCACTTGGCATTACTACTTCACTGTGCACTGGACTGGAAGAAAGGATATACTTATATAAAGGTTAGTAGTTAAAAGTTATAATTGTATTTTATGCCAGTATAATTAAGCAAATCACTTAAGTTTAATAAATGTCTATATAGATCCTTAATTATATTTAAACATGTCACATTTATTAGTATTAGTGTGTGCATGGTGAGTGTATGTATACTAGATATATTTCATTTCACTATATGTGTGTCTGTGTTAATCTAGGACATTTGTGTATTCTGTAACTTGAATTGTGTATTAATAAGTTGATAATAGTTTACATGTTATGTTCATGTGTGTAGATAAACATACCTTCATGATGTATTTTATATCATGAACAGGTTTTCACGAGGGATTTAATCTATTTACAAGGGATTGTGACCACCCAAATACACCCCAGTGGGATTCACCGGGTATATATATATACTTATATATTGCTTGCATTGTAACATAATATTATATTTATTGTACCATATTTATATTAAATGTGTAAATCCATTAAACTTACATATCTAAGCTTATAATTGTGAAATGTTATAAATGATATATCATGTATAGCTTATAAGTGTAGTAGATTATTAATTAATCTGCTTCAGTTTTGATGTACTAGATATAATTGTATGTTTATTATTGTATTCATTGTTCCAGGGTGTCGGTTTATCACAACAGAAAATAAATAATCAGACCTCACACCCAAGCCTGTGTCATTATGTTATCTGGGACACATGTGCACATATAATGGCTACCACAATGGAGCCCCCAGTGAGGATCTGTTGACGACTGATGTTGGGTGGAGTGACAATTCCCGTGATCCAGTGACCATCCCAGTGATCCAGTAATGGACTGCATACCCATGTGAATACGTGGTAATTATGAACTATTTGGGTGCAGAATGTTATCAACTTGTACCAAGATTCACGCAATCATGGACTCGTTTCCAAAGCTAGCTATGAAGCAATTGCTTTAGTTCTGTCTCATCAAATGTGCATTTGTTCTATTGTCAGCAAACAGTCATAATTGTGTTATACTCTACAGAAGATGCATCTTATATTTCTTTGAAAATTCAAATGGTGTTCCCTGTCATACTTTGTTACTGATTGTACACTGCAGTGTTATTCCTGTGTTGCAACACATTTTTTTCTTTTGTATATTCAACCATGGTGCCAATACTGACTCAGTTAGGTGTGTCAGTTTGTTGAGTCTTACCCTGAAGGTCACTGTAAACTGTATTTCTTTATTTATTAGTGTTGACTACATGCATATGTACCCGGATACACATGAATTAGTGCTGCATGGTATTTCATTGTGATGTGTATGAGTGGTGTGCTTTGTGTTTACATAATGCTTAGATAAGATTTAAATACTTGCTTAATTAATAAAGTGTGTAGGCATTCATCTTAGGCATTATGCATTAACCAAACCAAACAGGTTATCCATAAACCCAGAATGACTCTGTGACTGACTCACTACATATATTTATCAACACCCTGCACTCACAGCACCTTGCACACATCTATGCACCTAGATATGTCCCACTTATATTGTCATTAGTGTCGTCAAGCCAGGTTAGTTTGCTTTGATCTCACTCACTCATTTTATGTGATTGAACCCACCTATCCCATACTTTAGTTTTAATTGGTAGTTAGACATGTTCATATTCTTTTCCAGGTGATCAACTCAGATGACTTTGCTGCTTCACTTGGTTATATCAAGTCTGCTTTACTGCCCTTCATTTCGTTGTCAGCTCATATGCCTTCTTTTTAGCTATAATCATATTCTTTTCAATTTGCTTCTTTCATCGTCACATACATACTTAGTCACAAAGGTGACAACAGCGCTGGCGCCATATTGCACTTTTCGTCTTTTTCGTCTTAGTGACACTTGTTAATATAAACTCTTCTTAGAACATTTGTCCGCGATCAAATCCACTTTGTCCAATATGGAACTCAGTAAGGAGGAGTTGGGTAACATGGTGAAACTGGTTAGAAAGATGGGGATGACACCTAAAGATGATACTCTAGAGGATTTAAAGGATTGGATACATGGAATGTCTCAGCAGGAAGGTATTGCTATAAAGATGGAAGACTCGTCTGATACCTCACAGCCGCAAACAAGTCATAGCCATCCGACATGAGTGTCTTACCAGCATTTCCCCAGATTACCATTCTTCAGTGGAGAACATGGGAAGGATACAGAGTATGATCTTTGGAGATATGAGGTGGATTGCCTCATGGAGAGTAAGACATACAGCCCCGAGGTAATATTGCAAGCCCTTCGCAAATCACTTAAAGGAGAAGCAGCTTTGGTTTCCATGAAATTAGGTCATAAGGCATCTATTGCAGAGTTGTTGTCCAAATTTAAGAGTGCTTTTGGAACATTACGGAGTTGTTCCTCCTTGTTATCAGAGTTCTACAGTACCAGTCAGCATGATGACGAGGACGTGGCAACCTGGAGTTGTAGGTTGGAGAGGTTATTGTTCCAGCTTACTGAACTGAAGCACATCTCACAAGAAGAACAGGATGATATGCTAAGGTCAAGACTTTGGGATGGTCTACACTCATCGCTTAAGAGTCTAGCTGGATACAAATATGATGCTATATTCA